AGTCATCGTCAAAGTCTACACCCTCTTTATTCAAGAAACGCATTGCTCTGAACCTCGATACTAACTGTATTATGGCTGTCTTCAATCTGTACCAGGCCTCGTAACTAACGGGAACAGGACGCCCCGTTCTTCAGAAGTCAAACATCAAGCCAGTTATACCTCCTGACTGCACCCGTCAATATAGTTTATGAAGATGCAACTTCTGAGATCGTGTGGAGATCGTTTAATATGAATAAGTGTTGCCTTTAAGGTAAACCGTTATCGGATTATAACTGGTCGTGGATTATTATTGGACTTATCACCTGACGGTGATCTGTGAGGCCACCGTCCGACCTGCGTTCCTAATGACTACAGTCACGGCAACCACCATGGGAACGTGACCGCATACCGGCATCTGTCACACCACCGATATTTACATCAGAGTCAGGGCTCATTATATTTCCGTGATCAACTTCCATTCCACTTCCATTCACGCTGGGCTGAATTACCCAGGTTACGGTCGACTTCCGAGACCACAAGCGATTGAATGCCAAGCAGGGTTAAGACAATGTTGGAAGTTCAGCATTCATTTTCTGTGGTTAGGAGCGTTGTCCGCGATATTTCTAGACAAAGGCTTGGGGTTTCCTTGAATAATAAGTGCGATGACTGACTGACTGACTGAGTTTGGTTTTACGCCGCTTTTAGCAATATTCCAGCAACATCACGGCGGGGGGACACCAGAAATGGGCTTCACACATTGTACCCATGTGGGGAATCGAACCCGGGTCTTCGGCGTGACGGGCCAACGCTTTAACCATTAGGCTACCCCACCGCCCCATAAGTGCGATGAAGTGAGGTTTAACATCGAGTTAAAGATTCCTGCTCTTAAATAGTTATTTACCTTCACGTGTGCGCTTGCGTGCATGCGTGTATTTTTTTTAAAGATGAATAACCCACACAGGCAGGAAGGGTTACAACTTCTACCATCCTTTCACTCTTTTTGGTATAACAGTTGGTACTGAACCTCGATCTTACGCTCTCCAAGCAGACACTCTCCTTCCACTAGAACACAGAGGTTTCCAAGGACCAGTAGGCATGAAGCGAACCATTTATGTGTATAGGAGCTGTTTCTCTTTGGGATTCTTCAGCAAACTGTTATGGCGTTGCAAACTCGCAATGACACTTTCATTTAGATCATCGAAAGCATCATTCATATTACATAAGCACGGTATTCATTCGCACGTCTTAAACCGGGAACCCGCGTTGCCTGAAACCAAACGTCACTTTACATTTCAGAAATAAATCTTCCAGACAAGAAATCATAATTTTAAATCAGCATGCACGATCAAGCTTGATGAGAGTGTGGGATAATAAGGTATGATATATATTGTCATAATGACTGTATGCTCGGACCAATGAGATTACTGATGAGGGAAGTACCATGTCGCTGTGTGTAGTAATGCAGTTATAACATGGAGGCATGTTCACCCGGGGCCAACTCGGATGACGTCAGTCCCGGATTGTCTCGGCAATGATTGCGCAGTCTCCATCGGGAGATATTTGCGTGCATGTGAATGTTACCTGACAGGACACAAGCTGATGGCAGTCACTGAGGATTTATCTTTGTTCAAAGTGCTTCAGTCTGTTCGTGTCTTGTGGGGCGGTGGGGTAGCCAAGTTGTTAAAGCGTTCGTCGTCACGCCAAAGACACGGGTGCGATTCCCAATATAGGTACAATGTTTGAAGCACATTTCTGGTGTCCCCGCCATGATATTGCTGTAATACTGCTAAAAGCGACGTAAAACCATACGGAATTACTCAAACTCACTTCTTTGAAACAGTTTACTTTATTTCAGGTTAATAACTGCGTTTAAAGAACGGGCAACGTGGTAACGGAACTTCAGGCGACGGGATCTGATGGTATACCTTCTTTGCATAGTGAGTGTTCGGTGTGTGTGCGCATGCTCGGAGGGGCCAACTATGCGCTCATGCGCACGCCGTTCTGCATCGCGCGTACGTGTGTCATTCTGAATTGTGGGCGTTTGCGTGCGTGTGGGGAAGGGGAAGTGAGCACGTGGAAGTATTTGTAGTCTGAGCTAGGAATAAACCTCTTAATCCCGGACAAGACGCCTTCAAGTAATGGCGACAAGTTTCAGACGAGTCACACACATCGTAACCACCCGGTCACATTGTTGTACTGGAGACACACAATACCCGGCAGTGACTTGAGGACGCCAGGCAATCGTTGCTGACTATCCTTCCATTGTCAGATCCTCTTCATCTGGAGTTAAGGAAATCTCAGTTGATCCAAGCAAAAACATCAATCGTACAAGATAGAAAGAAGTCTATTGTATATCGATTCGTATTTTCTTTGATGCAAAGCAAAGAAAAGTTGGTCTCAGGGCGACCTTAATTGTTGCAGCTGCATAATTAATTTGATATATTTATGGGTTTCTTGATGTTGCGTCGTGACCTGTTTTAACCTAAAATATATAGGTTAATGAAAATTAGATTGTATTACTAAATAATTAATTTCTAAATTATTTCGCAGGTGTCCACACATGCGAAAAAATAACATTAACACATAAGATGCTGGAAATCATGAAATTCTCTCATTGCAGAAGCATTCAATGGTGTGAAATTACAGGATGCAAATGGGGACTGGTTAAAAATCCATATCCCATACAAATGATAGCGGCGCATTACGCTTCCGTTAAGTGTAGTGAGTGAGTTTAGTTTTACGCCGCACTCAGCAATATTCCAGCTAAATGGCAGCGGTCTGTAAATAATCGAGTCTGGACCACAGAGTGATCAACAGCATTAGCATCGATATACGCAATTGAGGACCGATAACATGTGTCAACCAAGTCAGTGAGCCTGACCACCCGATCCCGTTAGTCGCCTCTTACGACAAGCATGGGTTGCTGAAGATCAATTCTAACCCGGATCTTCACAGGTCCGTTAACTGTAGGTGTGAAGAATGATGACTTACCACGCCGACCTGCCAAGGTTGTAAATCTCTGATCTGTTATTGGAAGACAAACATCGGAGCTGCACCACTGGACGTCATGGTACAGCTTTGTTATTCTTTGTTTATAACAGCTCTGGCAAAATATTCCATCTATATGACGGTGGCCTGTAAATGGTCGAATCTGAACCAGAAAACTGATGTACACCATGAACCTCGATCTACGATACTGGGATACACATGCATTGACAAAGTGCGTGAGTTTAGTTTCACGCCGTTTTGTCAATATTCCAGCAATATCGCGACGGGGACACTAGAAATGGGCTTCACACATAGTACCTTTGAGGGGAATCGAACTCGGGTCTTTGGCGTGACAAGCGAACGACTTAACCACTAGGCTACCCCGCCGTCCCGTATCCATAAAGGCGAACTAGGATCTCCACGGGAAGTAGATTGTTGGTTTTCGCCAGATATCGGGTATGATCGCGTTGGTTTAAGTTGGGTCACCTTCAGGACGTCTTGGCCCTCCAGACATAAAAACACATATTTGATCATTTTTATTGTCATTTGTTAAAAACATTATTTATTAAAATACAAAATTAACAATCACAGAAAGTATTGCACATTATTACACAAATTATTTAATACAAATTTATAACATTTTTTGTCTCAGGAGGAGGATATTGTTAATTCCTGAAAACACAAACATCCACGGATTTATTCCGACAATACATTCAAACTTCTACATGACTATTGAAATGACAACAAAGTGTAAAACTCTATCATAAATAAAAAAAATGAACATCCCTAAGTTGATGACACGACTTAGTTGAGGGCTAAACGAAGAGTGAGTGAGTTTAGTTTTACGCCGCACTCAGCAATATTCCAGCTATATGACGGCGGTCAGTAAATAATCGAGTCTGGACCAGACAATCCAGTGATCAACAGCAGGAGCATCGATTTGTGCAATTGGGAACCGATGACATGTGTCAACCCAGTCAGCGATCCTGACCACCGGATCCCGTTAGTCGCCTTTTACGACAAGCATAGTCAGTCGCCTTTTATGACAAGAATTGGTTGCTGAAGACCTATTCTACCCCGGATCTTCACGGTCCGCTAAACTAAGAAGAATTGTCTGTGACAGTCTCTTAACCATACTGTGTTCCCTTCCGCCCAGTTCTTCCTGTAATCAAGGACCCCCCAAATGAAGAAATTCGAGATTTTCCTCAGGTCAGAATCTCACATATCCTTTTTTTAGATTAAATAGTGTTATATTTTTCACAATTATATATTTTGAGGCATGAACATAAAAAAACTGCATACATTCCCATGATGGCAATTGAAACTACCAGGTCGACTAGTTAGCTATATATTTTCAATATTCTTTCATTAGTTACCGGTGAAGATCCGGTTCAGAATTGGTCTTCAGAAACCAAACAAATAAATATCTTTAATCAGTTGAAGTTCTGCAATGACACTGTCGTGATAGGAAAGTGACATCCGAGTTTGAGTACCATCGTCAACACATTGTAAGAAATACGACTTCCATCGTCTGTGATGTCGTTAACATGGGGGAGCCATTGGGATCAGACATATTTTACGACCGCTTCAAATACTTGCACTCACATTGACATATGTGCTTGATACACTAGAAGCCGCAGTGGCGGTAGGCAGCTGACTTTGTGTGCTGGCGATTAGGTGCCTAACTCTGAGGGTGTGGGTTCGAATCCCGGATGGGACTCAACCCAACAAAAGTACTAGAAAATGTACTTTTCTGAGAAAGTGTAATCCCAAATATAACATATGTTACACACAGGGGCGTGTCACGCTTAGAAACAGCGTTACTAACGTGTTTCTAAGCATGACACGCCCCTGTGATGTTACACAAGGTTAGGTCAGGTTATGTAACATGAGTGAGTTTAGTTTTACGCACCACTCAGCAATATTCCAGCTATATGGCCGCGGTCTGTAAATAATCGAGTCTGGACCAGACAATCCAGTGATCAACAGCATGAGCATCGATCTACGCAACTGGGATACGAAGACATTGTGTTAACCAAGTCAGCGAGCCTGACCAGCCGATCCCGTTAGTCGCCTCTTACCACAAGCAAGGGTTACTGAAGATCAATATTCTAACCCGGACCTTCACGGGTATATGGAACATGAGAAGAAAGGTCGGAATTATTTTTCCTTCAAGCAATTTATAAATACATAAAATGAACACACCTGAAAGTTTACCTTTCTGACGTCACTTATCTTGTTACATGTGTATTACCAAATCATTCAGTTTAGAATAACACAGCAACAAAAAATATAATTTGATATTTAAAAGATATTTTCTAAAAGAGGTAAGACTCTATGAAATCATAAATAATTAAATAATATACAGTTAAAGCAATATCAACTTTTGGTGACAAAACCTGTCTGATTAACTGCACACTGTCCATATAATAGTTAGTCTGTAGAGTCTCTATTGCACATCCTTCCAGATGACAGCGATGTACACAGGAAGATGAGAGAGTTTAGTTTTACGCCGCTTTTAGCAATATTCTAGCAATATCACGTTGGGTGACACCAGAAATGAGCTTCACACATTGTACCCATGTGGGTATTCGAACTGGATCTTCGGTGTGACGAGTGCAAACGATTTAACCACTAGGCTGTTCCACCACCCCTCAGGGGAAGATGATGGCAGGGGTGGGTTGATAAAGGGTGATTGTACGTGAGGCTGGCTTCCTGACGAAGCTGTGTTTTGGCCTGAGTGGTTCTGACAAAGTGAGTGTATCCAGGTGCGAGTATACCAACATGGTCCATACTGGCCTCATCCTCTCAGCATTTGTCACACAGCTGAAAACTTTGGACAGCAGTCAATCCTAGTCGTTCTTCAAAAGTGTTGTGAATAATGCTGTCTCCAAACCAGTTCCGATGCATATTCCTGAAACATGAAAAGTGCATTTAAATAATAACCGTGTCTTTTCCTTTTAAAAGGTGAACCATGAGTGATGATTGAAAACCTATTTATAAGCAAAGGATTACAAATCTGCGCATGTTGTATTGTCAATATTTTCTAAAGTTACATGTAAAATAGTGTTGTATTATCAAAGTTTTCTGCTATATCGGTCTAAAAGTGTTGCATTATCAATGTTTTCACAACATGATGTCAAGAGTCTCATCAGCTGGCACTATGTACTTTAAGAAATCAGTGCCACAGCTACAACAAGCAGTTCTGCCTCTACAAGGACAGGACACTGTCATCAGCATCACCTGCAATGGTAAATACTTAATGAGTGAGTGAGTGAGTTTAGTTTTATGCCACATTTAGCAATATTCCAGCAATTTCACGGCGGGGGACACCAGAAATGGGCTTCACACATTATACCCATGTGGGGAATCGAACCCAGGTCTTTGGCGTGACGAGCGAACGCTTTAACCACTGGGCTACCCAACTGCCCCAAAAACTTAATGAGAATAAATATATGAAACTAGTTGTCATGGAAAGTAAAGAATACAGTTACCAGTTCACCACTAGGCCTAGGTATTCGCCAAGTTTGGTGAAGAAATATTGCACGTTTTTTCGAGACATGCTCTCGAAACAAGCTATCTCACCAGAGTCAGTTGTAAACAATAAATAAATACTTCTTAAGCATTTCCCAAATAATAACCTTTGAACAGCACCAGTTCACCACTATGTCTATCTGTGAGCCAAGTTATGTGAAGAAATACTGTATGTTTTTTTCAAGATAGGCTCTGGAAACATCTTAGCCCTCTCACCACTTTCCAGACAAAGTCAAAGTTGGTGTACAAGAAACAAGAAAGATACTTCTTAAAAATTCCTCAAATAAAAACTTTCTAACGACACCAAATCATTTCTAGACCTATCAAATAGCCAAGTTTAGATTAAAATACTATATGATGTTCAAGATCAGCTCTGGAAACAACATCTTGCACACCTGGACAGATTGATGGAGTCCATATTAAAATCCCTTTCAAAATGCGTTGTGGGAGAATGAATGAATGGTTTATTCTCATGAAGATCACGCAATAGTGACATAGAGAAAAATACAAATGTACAGATTTGTTTCATGGGAGCATACGTAGTCCGGTTTTCACATAGTTGCTTATTTTTAACAATAGTGCTTTATGCGTACAAGACATGAGGGATATAAATTTATCTAATGATGGATAATTACAATAATAGTTTGGTAGGAATGAATTTCTTACATTACTTAAACATGGACAGTATAACATGAAGTGAAGTTCATCTCCTATTGTGTTCTTACACAGTGTACATAATCTTTCTTCTTTAATAATATTATACCATCTACCTGTTTCTATTGAAAGTTTATGGTTACAGTCAAGGGTAGATCTACAGACACAACAATGGGGATAAAGATAACAAGTTAGGGTGCAGGTATGGAGAGTTGGAATCTGTAGGTACAGACCGATTGTGATGAACAGAGCAGTGAGGTTGATGCACAGTTCCTTGTCTTTGGCTGGGAAGCGCTGGCTGTGGAGCAGGATGTAGAAGATGTTGACGTAGGAGGCGCCGCCCAGCAGCCCCACATACACCATGAATGCTGGCAATACCGCCACCGGCAGGAACTTGTACTGTCCAACACAGGCAATAAAGAACATGTGCTATTACTTCATTCTTCATACAGTGTGTGGGGGAGAGAACCCGAGTTGCAACCTCTCTATGTCATGAGTGTATACTCTGACTCCATCACACAAGAATGAAGGCTGTACTATACATATGATATAGAGAATCTCACCCGAGTGTCTTTTGATATCAAATATATCAAAGTTGATATAAAGAACCATACGAGGCTTGATAAAGTAACAAATATCAACGAGGCGATATATTTGGCTTGCCAAGGATATTTTCACTTTTATCAACGAGTGTTGATATATTTGATATCAGAAGACACGAGGGTGAGATTCTATTTATCATCCAAAATCACTCTTCATTAGTTTTCAATGAAAACTGTACATCTCTGAACACAGTACTACCATTAGATTTGCAGTGCAGCGATGTCATAGCATTGTGACGTCATCAAGTTCATGACGTCACAGCATTGTCAGGGCATTGTACAAAATCTACTGTCAATCTCCTAGGAGATATCGTCTGATCTCACACAAGCGATATCTCCTGTGGAACACAGTTTTGGATGATAAATACATGATATACAATTCATAAAATTACAATGTCTGTTACCCAGACAGCGAGGTCCAAACTCAGATTCCAAGACAGAGACAATCCTTGAAAAGTTTCAATGTGTTTTCAAGTCTGTAAAATGTAATTTTGTAACTAAAAGACAAAAGACAGTGTGTATGATAAGCCTTCACAGGAATATGATTTTTAAAAACTAAATGCTGCCTTCCTCACAACAGTTTGTGAGAGTTGAAAAATGTACATATTATGGTCACACACCTGGAAAAGGGACAGACTTACATGCACATCAATTATCCAGATGATCATATTGATGAATTGTAAGGCCGAGAGGACTTCCACCCTTTGTATCTGAACCAGCTGTACAGATGACCTCGACACAAACACACCGGCCTGCAACACAACATGACTGATTCTTACAAATAGCATGGACAACCTTGACACAAATAATCACAGCTGCATCTTGCATTCAGCAAGGTCAACCAGCCAGCCACACAACATTATTACTGCTTCTCATATAGAGCAAGGTCGACCTTCCAGCCAGCCACACAACACTTACACTGCTTCTCACATACAGCAAGGTCGACCTTCCAGCCAGCCACACAACACTTACACTGCTTCTCACATACAGCAAGGTCGACCTTCCAGCCAGCCACACAACACTTACACTGCTTCTACAGCACATAGCCAGCAACACTTACACTGCTTCGCAACCTTCCAGCCAGCCACACAACACTTACACTGCTTCTCACATACAGCAAGGTCGACCTTCCAGCCAGCCACACAACACTTACACTTCCAGCAAGGTCAACCTTCAGCCAGCCACAACACTTACACTTCTCAAGCATACAGCAAGGTCGACCTTCCAGCCAGCCGCACAAACACTTACACTGCTTCTCACATACAGCAAGGCTGACCTTCCAGCCAGCCACACAACACTTACACTGCTTCTCACATAGAGCAAGGCTCGACCTTCCAGCCAGCCACACAACACTTACACTGCTTCTCACATACAGCAAGGTCGACCTTCCAGCCAGCCACACAACACTTACACTGCTTCTCACATAGAGCAAGGTCGACCTTCCAGCCAGCCACACAACACTTACACTGCTTCTCACATAGAGCAAGGTCGACCTTCCAGCCAGCCACACAACACTTACACTGCTTCTCACATACAGCAAGGTCGACCTTCCAGCCAGCCACACAACACTTACACTGCTTCTCACATACAGCAAGGTCGACCTTCCAGCCAGCCACACAACACTTACACTGCTTCTCACATACAGCAAGGTTGACCTTCCAGCCAGCCACACAACACTTACACTGCTTCTCACATAGAGCAAGGCTGACCTTCCAGCCAGCCACAAAACACTTACACTGCTTCTTTTATAAGGCAAGGTCGACCTTTCAGCCAGCCATGCAACATTATTACTGCTTTTCACACCCTTACTGTGTCAGTGTCCAGGTAAACAGAAAACTGAGGTTTCCCACCTGATAACAGAGCTGGAGTGCGGCATACAGCTCGGGACATCCCACGTTGTACTCCGACTTGGGTCGGACCTTGGCAGCACATCCCCTTGCGATGTACTCGAACACATACACCGCAGCCAGCTGAAGAAGAGACACAATGAATCTTACCACATCCAAAATATCATCACAGATTGACCAAATCAGGTATTATCTAGTTCTGGGGTTACGGTGCCTGAGTGTGGGTTTGAATCCCCGATAGGACTCAACCTAACAAAAGTACTAGAATCAGTACTTTACTAAAAAAGTGTAATCACAAATATAACATACGTTACATTTGACCACTTTCTACATGGCATTGTGTATTCATATATTACATTTCTTTGAAAACAGCAAATTACTATTTAAAGCCAAATATCCAATTTATTATTTTACATACCAAAACTACTTCCTCGCACATGTGTTCTGTAAGTACTGATTCACAAAAGCCTTGTAACTAAAACCATTCATTCAAAACAAGCTTACTGATAATATTCCTCGTCAATATCGTCCTACAAGGTGATTACAGTGAACACAACGAAGACAATGTTCTGCATGCAATAAGAGGCATGTTGTGTTTCATAAAAATAGCTACTGCCCTGTTCAGTGCTTTTTGCTGAATTTCAAATAACCTGCACAATGGCCGCCATCCCACATTAAATCTACCAATAGGACCTAGTTAAATGACTTCTTCATACAGACAAAAGTCATCATTTATCAATGGGTGACCAGAAGTTTGTCTAAACCTTGGCAACTTTCTCTAGCACAATCAGTATAAAAAAAATCAATATCTGATGAAGCAGTGATCTCACAACACAAAAGTGCAAATCACACTTCTCTCAGTTAATTAGCTCCACAGTGCTTCCAGCTGCGAAGTGTTGTATTTTGAGACAAGGTAGACAGTGCTTTACATCAATTAGCTTATACAACGTCCCACTGGGCCCATAAGGTAAGGGCACCTGTTTCCCCGGAGCTCACATTGAAGGCCATCCAGCTGACGAGCTTCAAGCATCTCCAGATACGTCTCAGCGCAGTCTCCTCAGTATGCTCCGCATCAGGGCTCTCAGCCTCCCCATCCAGATCTGTCACTAACAAACACTGTATATTTGTCTTGTAGTCTGATTAGTCAGGCAAATGTAGAACATGAATACAAATATACTCAATATTAACCTAACCATGTTATTAACCCATCCAGAACTGTCACTAACAAACACTGTATATTTGTCTTGTAGTCTGATTAGTCTGACAAATGTAGCATACGAATACAAATACACTCAATATTAACCCAACCATGTTATTAACCCATCCAGAACTGTCACTAACAAACACTGTATATTTGTCTTGTAGTCTGATCAGTCAGACAAATGTAGCACACGAATACTAATATACTCAATATTAACCCAACCATGTTATTAACCCATCCAGAACTGTCACTAACAAACACTGAATATTTGTCTTGTGCTACTGATAGGTCTGACAAATGTAGCATACGAATACAAATACACTCAATATTAACCCAACCATGTTATTAACCCATCCAGAACTGTCACTAACAAATACTGTATATTTGTCTTGTGCTACTGATAGGTCTGTCGTATGTAGTACAAGAGTGAGTGAGTGAGTTTGGTTTTACGCCTCCTTTAGCAATAATCCAGCAAAATCATGGCGGGGGACACTAGAAATGGGCTTCACACATTGTACCCACGAACTTGGGCCTTCGACATGACGAGTGAATGCTTTAGCACAAGAATACAAATATACATGTACTCGATATTAACCCAACCATGTTATTGATTGTTTGTTCAAGCAATACCTTTTTTTAAAATACAAAGCTTCTTATATGCCATAAATATAAATATACTTGGAGTCTTTCATAAATTTATCAATCTATATCAGAAACTAGTTCTATTCTCCCATATCTTAATTTAATTATGAAAATGTCTTGGCAACAAGAAACACACTTGATCTGAGACCCGTGAAGATCCGGGTTAGAATTGGTCTGCAGTAACCTATGCTAGTCGTAAGAGGCGATTAACACAATCGTGTGGTCAGGCTCGCTGATTTGGTTGACACATGTCATCGTATCCAAATTACATAGATCAATGCTCATGCTGTTGATCACCGTATTGTTTTGTCCAGAGTCAAGTATTCACAGACCGCCGCCATATAGCTAGAACATTGCTGAGTGCGGCGATAAAAAACAAACAAACAAAACAAAGTTGGAGTGAGTGAGTGAGTTTAGTTTTACGCCGATTTTATCAATATTCCAGCAATATCTCGGCGGGGGACACCAGAAATGAGCTTCACACATAGTACCCATGTGGGGAATCGAACCCGGGTCTTCAGCGTGACCAGCGAATGCTTTAACCACCAGGCTACCCCACCGCCCCACAAAGTTGGAGCAGAACTTTCCATATTGTAGAAAATTGACAACACAGTGCAAGAATATTAACTAATTTTGAAGATGATATATGTTCTACTGAAATACCAATTTTTATTCATCTTCTACTTCATAAGTGTTCCATGTTGTCTTGTATGGGTTTTCTCAAATTGAAATGTATAGTGTTACATTATTGATTCCTCTTTCAGGTTACCTGGCTCAGAGTGCTGTATAATGGGAGTCTTCTCGTCAACTGTCTCGTTCTCCGGTTCAGGTACAGACAGAGATGACGATGATGGCTTCGGTACTCGAACAATGACGAAATAGGCCACCCAGTAGATCAACACGACAGGAGTCGTCAGGAGAAACGCATATCTGCAACACATCATGGTCATATGTGAAAACAACCATGTAAAAATTCTTTCTATAGAGCCTAAGAAAACATTGAAATCAGATTCATTTTGACACTTAATTCTCATCTTCAAATGAAAGAAAAAAATTACTCCACTACTTCAGCGCTGGATACTTGAACTTGGCCTATACAATATGGTCTGGCATTCATTTTCAGGGTTATGTATTATGATTTTGTAGCGGCCATAACATTTCCGAGTCCCGTGCTGGGATTCGAACCACGGACCTTCTAATCCGAAGTCGGACACCTTGTCCACATGACCAAAGAGGTTAACCCCGTCAGCAAGCTGACAATCGATGACCCACTCCCTTACAATTTATCCCACATGGGCACAATGTCTGAAGCCCATTTCTGGTGTCCCCAAAAGGTCTTGACTGTAATCTATTAAAGCTGGAATATTGCTAAAACGGGTTCTAAGACCAAACTCAGCCAAAGTCAGTATTCAAGTCAGATATTCTATAGAATGTCCTTCTGTCACTGAGATCTATTTTAAACTGATACAATATCCCAATCCACCACATTACAATACAAAGGAAATGAACTAAGTTATACAGGCACTAATAGTCCACCATGATTTTAAGTAATTTTCTTTTTCAAGAACAACCATTAGGCTACCCACAGCCCTATGCCAGCCAAGATTTTACAACATTTTACATCCATTTCCTAAGGTTACTGTTGATTTAGCTGTTTCAAATTTTCGTCTTTGACTTATGAGACAGATTAAACACTGTCCACCACATCAGGCGAATGATGAAATTGTGTTAAATTGTCTTCATGCTGAAAATTGTCTTTCTCTCACACAATGTCATCAAAATACAATGTAGTTTATAGAGCTATGCTATTGTTTAAAAGTGACAGAATTGGTTTTGGCTGAAAATGTAAAACCTCTTACTTGGTGAGGGTGTGGAGCTTGCTGGTCTTGTCGCTTCCATTGCCCACGGTACAACCTAAAATGTCAGGATAGCATATGAACAGTATGTCTTAAGCTGTGTTCAGATAATCATCAAATTCTTTATGAGATGTTGTCATGGACACAGAATAAAGATACCTGAAACTGAAGCTGTACTATTTGAACTCAAGACGGGGTGGTGGGATAGCTTAGTGGTTAAAGCGTTCGTTTTCACGCCGAAGAACCGGGTTCAATTCCCCACATGGGTATGATGTTTGAGGTCCATTTCTGGTGTCCTTCGCTGTGATATTGCTGTATAGTATGACCAGAAATTATTGAGAATTTTAGGAATGAAAGAAGAGGTGGTCCGATATTGGGACAGCATGGACCACGACTTTCTAACTTCTTTGATCAGTAGTATGCCCGCTGCATTGAAGCCTGCATTGCTGCCCATGGTGACTTGACAAAATACTAACTGTTCACCTGTCCTTGAATCTGGAGTCATGTTCTGCTAATATTCACATTTAATACGTGAGTAATGAGTGAAAAAAAAAAAAAATAATTACAATCTTTAAATTCTCAATAATTTCTGGTTGTACTGTAATGTTGCTAAAAGCAGTGTAAAACAATACTGTCACTGAACTCAAGGCACTTCTTATTACTTCTGCTTACCTCAAATAGTTGGAAGAATGATTCTGGATGATACATAAAATCTTACCATCATATCTGTTGACATGAAAAATATCACCACTCATCAACATAAGGTAAAAACTATTCGTCAAAATTTGGACATTTAAACTTTAACAACTACTGTTGATAAATCAGATATCAGAAAACACTCAGGTGAGATTCTCTGTATGCCACGCCCAGGCAGGTGAGAAACCTGCAACATTTCTGGTTTAAAATACCATTCAATCACTCACCCCTCACTCACCAAATATGATGTATATAGATGACCCGAGGAGACCGAGCCATGCCGGTACCACTGGACCAGGCGTTGACCAGCTTGCTGGGAACTGAGACAGGAAGCCCAGGGTCACACTAAAACACACATCACAGAACACAAATATTGGAACACGGCTTGATATTATTCATTCAGTCAAACATCATTGTGTCAATCTTTGATGTGTCAATGTCACCGTTGTCTCGAGGTAAAAGTTTGGACCCTGCATAGACCTAATATGGTCATCATTTAACAGTTCTGTCAAATCGGATGACTCTTCATCCTCGATAATCTCCAGGGTATACGTTACGATAACGCTCCACTATACCCTGGATGCATCTACAGTTCCGCCAGATAATTTTATTACCTCCCTTGGCTGGCTTCTTATCCAATCAGGTATCTACGCTGGGAAGTTGAGCGGACCAATCACAACTCACTTTTGCTTCTTAAATTATCTAACTGATTAAACTTGGCAACACAATTGATGCAGAGGTACTCTGAAAGAGGTTGAAGGTGTTCTTGCATATATATTTTTTTAAAGTTTCAGACCTTAAATTTGTCTGTATGATTTCCCAAAAAATCTGAGTCGCACTGCGAACAAACCTTCGCGGCTGCAACCGCTATCTTTGTTGACACTGGCAAGTTCGGTTGTAACGGCGGCTTATCTGATTGGCTACTGTGAGAATGCGGAGCCAGCCAAGGGAGGTCATAAAATCATCAGGCCAAGCCGTAGATGCGTCCAGGGTATAGTGGAGAGTTATCGTAACGTATACCCTGGAGATTATCGAGGATGATGACTCTTAAGTATTTACAAAGGTCCCTTCAACTTCACCACAATGGTGTTTGACTGTGAATGATCTTTAGACAATTTCGTTTCATGAATAAAGGTAGTATTGTTATGCTTTGTTTGGTTGGTCTCTATCTCTTGCCTCAGCATTATTCAAATGATATGACTTGCTTTTATATACAGTCAAATCCCAATGAGTCGAATCGCACGGGACCAAATAATAAATTCATCTTACCGATGTATTCGAGACATAGGTATGTCTATGAGGGTAGAAAAAAGATGATCCAGTCCTAATTCCTCCACCTAAGCATTTGTTTACCTAATGATTTCCCTATCACTAATAGGGGCACCTTATCAGTTCCAGTCTGATTAGCACAGACAGTGATTTCCGTAAAATCACTAATATGCCTTTTGAACTCACCCGTCAATGGCGGAAAGGTGTGAGCCGCGCTGGTTTATTAATTTGATCAGTTAGCTACACCAATCAACTTCTCATTGACTGACTTCGGCTTATGTATACAAGATTGCTGTTGTTTGAATCTCATGGGACCAAATTTTCTTCTCGAGTCAATTTGTGTATTTATGAGACGAATTCGTGTAACCGGTAATCAAATGATGACAACTATAACAGAGAATGGTCGGGACTGACAGGTACTTCGAGTTAGGCATAATATTCGAGACACCGGCATTCAACTCATCGGGATTTGACTGTATAACATATCTTCAGACATTTTGGTTTCATGAATGAAGATGTAATATAATGTTTGTTGCGTAATCAGCATAATACAACAGACATGATAGCAGCATATAGATAATCAGGTCTGGATCAGACAAACCACTCCACACTGTCAGGTGACGAGGACACGGAAACAAACATTGTTTGATTGACTGATTGTTGCTTAACGCTGCACAGACAATCGAGTGATCAATAGCATGAGCATCATTGTATGCAATTGAGATACGATAAAATGTCAACCAAGTCAGCGATCCTGACCACTCAATCCCGTTAGTTGCCCCTTACGACAAGCATGGGTTACTGAAGACCAGTTCTAACCCGGACCTTCACAGGTCTGAAACAAGCAAGCCACCGAGTCTTACAATCAGAGTAGGCTGCTGGCCGACAAATCTGCCCTGGAATGCCCACACAAATAGTATGGGATCTCTGGGATCTCTGTATCTCTGAGATCTCTCCATATCTTTCTATTTCAAGTTAAATTCTCAAGATTTCTTACTATCAACTCTTAAACTCTATAATATTTGTACGAGTGTTGCTGACATACTTCTCCCCAAAGGCAGCACTGGATCCCACCACCACCTGCAACATGGACGTTGACACGGCTCTCAGTGTCATGGAGTATAGAATGGTCACATGAACATATACTACTTACAGGAAGTTAAGGATCACATGACTATTTGATATATAAAAACATAAACATTTCTACAGTATTTTATTCTGTTTGCAAACTACAGCTTTCTGCAACACCCTTCTCAGAAAGCACTGTTACTCAAAACAATGTTACATTTCACGTATTTCTGAAAAACACCAAATGGTGCGTGCAATTATAGTGAGTGAGTGAGTGAGTGAGTGAGTGAGTGAGTGAGTGAGTGAGCGAGCGAGCATGAATCCCATCAGAGCATGATTGTGTTGGTGATACATAAGCATTCCTTCTTAACATTGGTGTTCATTTATTACAACCAAACCAATAAATTAACGTTAAACCAGCATTAGAATACTTAATCCCTGCTTATCATAGACAGAAACAAACCTGACCTGATAGTCACATTTGCAGATGTTGATGCTGCATATCATCATATCCACATAATGTAGACTGGTGTTGCATATCATCATATCCACATAATGTAGACTGGTGTTGCATATCATCATATCCACATAATGTAGACTGGTGCTGCATATCATCATATTCACATAATGTAGACTGATGCTGCATATCATCATATTCACATAATGTAGACTGGTGTTGCATATCATCATATCCACATAATGTAGACTGGTGTTGCATATCATCATATTCACATAATGTAGACTGGTGCTGCATATCATCATATCCACATAATGTAGACTGATGCTGCATATCATCATATTCACATAATGTAGACTGGTGCTGCATATCATCATATCCACATAATGTAGACTGGTGTTGCATATCATCATATCCACATAATGTAGACTGGTGTTGCATATCATCATATCCACATAATGTAGACTGGTGTTGCATATCATCATATCCACAGAATGTAGACTGGTGCTGCATATCATCATATCCACATAATGTAGACTTGTGCTGCATATCATCATATCAACATAATGTAGACTGGTGTTGCATATCATCATATCCACATAATGTAGACTGGTGCTGCATATCATCATATCCACATAATGTAGACTGGTGCTGCATGTCATCATATCCACATAATGTAGACTGGTGCTGCATGTCATCATATCCACATAATGTAGACTGGTGCTGCATATCATCATATCCACATAATGTAGACTGGTGCTGCATATCATCATATCCACATAATGTAGACTGGTGCTGCATATCATCATATCCACATAATGTAGACTTGTGCTGCATATCATCATATCCACTTAATGTAGACTGGTGCTGCATATCATCATATCCACATAATGTAGACTGGTGCTGCATATCATCATATCCACATAATGTAGACTGGTGCTCATGCTATCAACCACTGGATTGTCTGGTGAAGACTTGATTATTTATAAAACACAGTCACATAGAGAGAATATCCCTGAGTGCTGCTTCAAACAAAGAAACAAATATAACTAAACATGCTCACAATGCAAGCCAAGGCTATTCCAAAACTGGAGGAGAACGCCACTCCAATCAAACCTGGTGACAAAACAAATAATATTTACAAAACAAATCCTATTTACATGCTACAAATACAACTCCATAAGGCTCTCAGAAAGTCTCTACAAAATGTATTTTGGGTATATTTACATAAAATAAATTTAATAGTTACTAGGCAACAAATACTGATAAACATGTCCAGGAGCTTCCTTTAGAAATGAAGTGTGACAAACAAAAAAACACTTTCTGTTTAAGAAAAACAAATTTATTAAATACCTGTATGTTGAATATGTTCATTTTATCCATGAGTTTGTGCCTTTCGCATGTATCTTGAAATACACACTTACATAAGATACCCGAATATTAACAATCTGATTCATAAATGTGTCCGGGACACCATTATCATATTTGAACCGTCCTAGGGACCGTTCATAATTTATGGCTAGTGGGGGTGATGATGATTTTTATGGAGAAGCATGTACAATGTGAATGAACAACAGCCCCCCAACAAAAAAACCCCTGCATGTCATTAAAATCATGTACAAAGTCAATGTCCATATTTTTAAAGCATAATTTTTTAAATATTTTATGTACAAAATTGCTGATCCCCTAGAAACGTGTACAAAATTGATGACCCCCACCTCCCCAGAACAATTTGGGTGACCCCCTTAAAATCATCATCACCCCTCCTTACTCAGCCATAGGGCGGTGGGTAGCCTAATTTAAAGCTGCTATGAGACCCGGTTCCCCCACATGGGCACAATGTATGAAGCCCATTTCTGGTGTTCCCCGCCGTGATGTTGCTGGAATATTGCTGAAAGCGGCGTAAAACCAAACTCAGTCAGTCAGTCAGTACTCAGCCATAAATTAAGAACGGTCCCTTACTGTAACAGTAACTCAGCTATTTGAACTTTACAACAAATTTCAAACCCAGAAACACAAGAAATGATAGTGTGAATGACAGGCACATGTTTGACAATATACATGTACATGTATATATATACAAAGACCATGTGACACATGAAGTCAACCAGTGTCTATTGAACTAAAAATAAAAACATTTTAACAGTATTGAGTTATCCCTGTGTGGTAATTTAATCATTATTTGTAGAATACAGAAAATAAAGCTAAGGTCTGAAATTGGGTTTAACGTCGTGCTTGAGAATATTTCGCTCATATGACGACGTGCATGAGTGTGTATGTGTATGTGCGGCTGCTTGTACTAGCTCAGACTTAAGCTGGTTCTATAGTGCTAGCCCACTGAGATACCATGCCGCAGTGAAGCGTGAATACCCCACTCAGACACATTATACTGACTCCGAGCCAACCAGTCCTTGTTTTACCCATTAATGCCGAACGCCAGGCAGGGACCAACAAGTACCAGATTTTAACATCTTTTGGTATGACTCGGTCGGGGATCGAACCCGCGACCTTCCGCTCTCCGGACGGACGCTCTAACCACTACACCACGGAGGCGGTCTAAGGTCTGGAGACATTCAGAGGAGTCTTTTAACTCATCAAATTGATGTCATAGCAAATTAGATTAGTCAGTGAAATGTAAATTGGGCAACTTCATTTGGCAATACCATGTTTCTGTTGTACTGAAACATGAAAATGGTAAGTAATGTGAAATGCATGATCAGCAGATCCCATAACTTAGCCCACGTCACGTGGTTTAACATTGTCAACAACGTCGCCTTACCGATTAACATGAGACACCCATTCACCATAAACCTGTACCTGAACGGTACCTTCAGGAGAAAAAATGTGTTGAGGCCTGTAAAAAACAAAATTATTCAGGTTATTGTCATTATTTTGTTATTCATTTTTTTAATTGTCAAAGGACGTCATATCATCTCATACTGTGAATTAGTGTTGGGAATTGGTTAAAATCTCATAATTGATGATTGGTTCATTACAACCGATCAATCATCGAAAATAATTGGTGAGCGAGGATTGGATAAAAGTCACAGACTGATCATTTATGAATTTTTTTAGAATACACATAAAAATAAGGAAAAAAACATGTAGTTCTTTTGGGGCTTTTTTGGCAAAAATTCACATCTTTAAAGGATGACTAGTATGTTAGGAACATAAAATCCCTTTCTTGGAGCCTTTAAGATAAATTCAATCATGACTTAAATAGAACTTGTAGTGCTTACAAAATGTAACAGACAAAACCAACCATGTGAAAAATATTGTTAATGAAAACAAGTGTTCCAGAAGTGTTTGTGTTCGATTATGAGAAATTATGATTTACGATTCTTGGTCGCTTAGTCACTACTTTCAAAGTTGAATATCTTCATGCTACAAATTATTTCAATTAACAAAATCAATTTTTTTTCAAAACCCTCAACTCAGCATTTCCTGATCAATTAATTGGTTGGAAAATAGAACAGTACTGAATCCCTTCTGCCACAGTCTGACAGCAATGACGAGGACAGCATGTTTTGTAAAACCCTCAGTGTGTGATCAAGAAGTTATTCAGGATTCTAAACTAAGCCCCGTGCCAATCAAATTTTTTAGAAATCATTCTTTAGGCATTTTTCTAAAGTTCTTATTTCCTTAAATCCAGTCAAATTTTAACACTGAATTTTGAGATTGTTTTCATTGTAATAAGATATAAGTAAGCATAGAAAGCTCTTTTTCTAAAAGGGAGAAATGTATGGATGTCAACATCTGTAATATAAGGTAAAAGACATTTCCGATTATATTCATGATCCTTTATCTTTTTCCATATCGGGACTGTTATCAGTGAAACATAAGTCATCTCTACAAAGGCAATAATTATGTATTAATACTTAATTATCTTTGATGCATACCTCATGCTGATTATCAACCTCTGACCAACCTGGGCCTAGATTTTCGAAGCTCTCTTAGAGCTAAGATAGTTAAAATTTAAGTTAATGTTAATGTATGGCACTTACGACTATCTTAGCGCCAAGAGAGCCTCGAAAATCTATGCCCTGGTTATAAAGCCCAATTCTTTCCCCAACAAATGTTGGCATTATATCCGGGATAAAGAGCATGTTGTAATGTATTCAAAAACTATCGTAACAAGACGCTCTAGAAGGAACACTCGTAAGATACACCGCTCATTCTACGTGTACACACCTTTGACAACTGCGGACAGTGCCACATTAGCTCCAAACACTAGGCCCACAAAGTTGCTCTCATTAAAACTGAAAAAAAGAATATTCAGTAATTACCTGCATGTGATCTCAGATTTTGTATAGCTATTGTGGTTACATAGTGCTAGTGAAATTAGAGACTGTTTTGTGCAAATCTTGCTCCTTTCCTTCCTGTGAGATTTTGCCTCATGTATTTAAGAATCTTGTAAAATAAAAACCACTTCTCTTTAAATGATTTTCAAATATGAAGAGCAAGAATGTTTCTAATGACTAAAAAATCCAGAAAGTATACCATGATACAGGGGTGGAAATAACTTTTAAATTGCTAATGTACTCCAGTACAGTGGCACATGTAAAATCACTTGCCCTGATAATTTTTCCACTATATTGGATTTTAAAAAAACAATAATTAACATTGGAAAGTCAACTGGAATCCGGTACAGCGTGACATACAAATTTGCTTGCCAGACAGAAAAAAACACTGGACTGGGGCGTTGGACAATGGGTTATTTCCACCTCTGCCATGATACCAAAGTGATATACCACAATGTATACCATGTAAATATATGTAAAGTAGCATTAATATCAGTTTGGGAAATTGGCTACAGACATCTTGTAGCCTTCCTCTGAAAGAAGTCTATACATGCTCACTATTGTTGTACATAACTGTTAATTACTTAAATACAGGAGGCATATGATATTCATGTAAATAAATCTATGTGTATTATACTAGTCTGTTGTTTCACTGGATTGTCGATTATTTACAGACCGCCGCCATACAGCTGGAATATTGCTGAGTGCTGGATAAAACTAAACTCAACTCACTGTCGTTTAACCTGGCTATGCCAACACTCACTAAAGTGGGCACAGTAATTTACACAAAATCCAGGTAGGTATAATGGATGAAATACACAATGCCATTTGTGGTCAAATGTAACATTTTAGAATGTGGTCAAATGTAACATTTTAGAATGTGGTCAAATGTAACATTTTAGAATGTGGTCAAATGTTAAACATTTTAGAATGTGGTCAAATGTAAGTTTAGAATGTGGTCAAATGTAACAGTTTAGAATGTGGTCAAATGTAACAGTTTAGAATGTGGTCAAATGTTAGATTTTAGAATGTGGTCAAATGTAACATTTTAGAATGTGGTCAAATGTAACATACATTGTATATTATATTTGGGATTACACTTTCTTAGTAAAGTACAGATTCTAGTACATTTTGAGTTTAGTCCCATCCGGGATTCAAACCCACACCCTCAGAGTCAGGCACCTAATCGCCAGCACATAAAGTCAGACGCCTAGACCGCTCAGCCACCGGGGCTTCCATATAATCAAATATAACATATGTTACAGGTATAATGGACGTTGTAATCAAATCCTGCTCTGACGTGTATGACACACTGTCAAGACAATGGGTCTGATTACATGGTTCAACTAAGTCCCCTAAAATATGACGAGAAGTCCATTATTAGCACTACTGGGGACCTATTCTGACCTGGGTTCCCTCACTGTGACAAGTAATCAAGTGCTTGGGACTTTTCTAACCCAGGTGTTGAGGTTTGTGGATGACACTGGATCCCAGGATTATGTCGCTACCCACCTGTCTGCAATGGTGCTGGCAGCGGAGTTGACAATAACATATGGTAGATTGTTGATTGTCCCAAGGAGAAACAATCCTATCTGCAAGCATAGAAATGTTGTGTACTAGCAGTCATGAAGATACATAACTGTTATGTGATACAATATGACAACTTTCTTCAAATGGAGATTTGGGATTGAAGGGATTTATGAAAAATGGTTGTATGCCACAGACTACTTCAGACACACTGACAGACAGACATAGACACACAGGCACATACACAGACACACAAACAAACAAACAAACACACAGAGAGAGAGAGAGAGAGAGAGAGAGAGAGAGAGAGAGAGAGAGAATGAGAGAGAGAGAGAGAGAGAGAGAGGAGAGAGAGAGAGAGGAGGGAGGAGAGAGAGGGAGAGAGAGAGAGAGAGAGAGAGGGAGGGAGAGAGAGAGAGAGAGGAGGGAGAGAGAGAGAGGAGAGGAGAGAGAGGAGAGAGAGAGAGAGAGAGGAGAGGGAGAGAGAGAGGGAGAGAGAGAGAGAGAGAGGAGAGAGAGAGAGAGAGAGAGGAGAGAGAGGAGAGAGAGAGAGAGAATGAGAGAGGAGAGAGAGAGAATGAGAGGAGAGAGGAGAGAGAGAGAGAGAGAGAGAGAGAGAGGGAAGAGAGAGGGAGAGAGAGAGAATGAGAGTGGAGAGAGAGGGAGAGAGGAGAGAGAGAGTGGAGAGAGAGGGAAGGAGAGAGTGGAGAGAGAGAGAGTGAAGAGAGAGAGCGGAGAGAGAGAGATAATACACATACATGCACACATGCACGCCCACACACACACACATTCCTTTGAATGCTTATTCAGCTTTCATTGCAGCTTCAGCCATTACTGGAATTTCTCCATGACATCCTTCAAATGCTGTCATTTTGAAGCAGTGTATGAAATAAGCCAAAAACCCAGCCAGACATCAGGGCTGGTAACTTCAAAATGTTACCAGCCCAAAATGGATTTAACCAGACCAGACACCAAGATATGCTGAATTTACTCAGATGGAAAGTTTTTACCAGACCATCAGGATGGCTAGCTGTAAATTTAGACCGTCCGTCAAAAATCTTGTCCATCTCAGGCAGTCAGACGGGCCTCATTTACTACACTGTTTGAAGAACTTTAAGAGCATGATTATCAAAATGTAGTAAAACAAATGGTTCATTTACTTCACATCTATAACAACTGGGATGACACTAGCTACAGTTTGGTCTGCGATGCCACATTACACTACTTCATGGAGGCTTGGGAAGTATCAAGCCTGGAGTAAACAATAAACCATGTCATTGAACATAGGTCTCTAATGGGTGAGTGAGTTGGGTTTTACTCCATTTTTAGAAATATTCCAGCAATACCATAGAGACACAAATAATGAGCTTCACACATTGTGCCCATGGTGGGAATCGAACCCACGACTATGGCGTGACAAGCAGACGCTTTAACCACTAGGCTACCCCACAACCTCACTGAGGATGGGTCGAGTCCAAATTGTCTCCCTGTTACCTGACCCTACAGAGTTGGGTAGAAAATGTTTGATTGGAAATAGTTTTACTGAAGCCCTGGATAAAACTATTCCAATACACCTACAAACCGAATGAGTGAGTTGGGTTTTTACGCTGCTTTTAGAAATATTCCAGCAATATCATGGCAGTGGACACCAGAAATAGGCTTCACACATTGTGTCCATGTGGGGAATCGAACCCAGGCCTTCGGCGTGATGAGCAAACGCTATAACCACCAGGCTACCCCACCGCCCCACGACAAAACGATCTGATAACGAATGAGTTAAAGTGACAGAGGCTTTATCTCTACTCAAACATATATAAGTCAGAAGTAATGCTTGTATAGTCAGAAAGAAATGCAAGAGCCTTCTTTGCAGAAATAGAGTTTCAATGATTATTGTCTGAAATCAACCTATCACATACATGATTGACCACAGGTCTGGTTGGTACCCATGAAGGTCCTACTACGGACCCAAATGAACCAGAACTTGATTTACCTGTCACTACCAATTCTAACCTAGAATTCAGAATCTGACATTTAATGGCAGGTCACATGTTCATCAACACAAACATAAATATGTTACCTGTTGTGCAGGGACTGCTGCCAACAGTTCTCATAAATATAGGAATATTAAATATCATAATATTGATTATGATGTATATGGCATTATCAAGAGTGATGCAGTTGCCAACAAAAATGATAATTGAATATAATCGTTACAGCAATGACAATTAAAACTCGATTATTTTGGGTCCGTTCATAATTTATGGCTGGGTGGGGGATGATGATTTTAATTGGGGGTCACCCATTTTGTGCTGGGGGTCAGCAATTTTGTACACACGTACTTGGGGGGTTAGCAATTTTGTACATATAATTTGTTTAAAAATATGCTTAGAAATTATGGGAAGGAGAGGGGGGTCATTGATTTTGTACATGACATGGGGGGTCAACTTATATTGTACATACATTTTAGGGGGGGTCATTCACATTGTACATGCTTCTCCACAAAAATCATCACCCCCCCCCCCAACCCATAAATTATGAACGGTCCCTGAATACATTGAACAGCGACATATTATGTATTAAAACCTATTACTTACCCAGTTTCTCTTTTGCTCCATTTTGGTAACGGCCAATTACTAAATCCGTCTGAAAATCGGAGATGAACTGTGACGTTGACACGATTCCGATCGTGTTATCCGCAATCTGAGATTGAGAACTGTGATCACTAATCAGCTACAATCAGAATCATTCGGCTTGTCAGAATGTCGAAATGCACACAGATAACTTCGGTCACATCAGAGAAATCACAACAGAACTGTCATTTTCAGATACGCCAATAACATTTAAACGTATACTTCACTTCATAATGGCAAATACCAGTGTTGTCAGTACAGGATAAGAAGTATACAATATAGATCAAAGTATATTTCCTGCAAGCAGACAGCTTTTATCAACATGTGACATAAAAGGGAGGTCACTCTAATCATCAGCCGATCGGGAGTATTCGGTTAATTCCGTTACAGTTAATCGTATTTGATGTACACAATGAGTAAAATTGAGTTTCCATCTAAATATCTAGAGTATTAAACTGATGAAATATTACCTCTCAGTTGGGATGGAATATCTGTACCTGATTTACTCTTCCTCAGATCAAGTGTCCCAATTAGGGATAAATTAAACCAAAGACAGATTTAAGCACACTGCCTACCGCTAAAGAGATATCAAATATGTTTGTTTAACAAATTTGTATATATATTTTTTAAAACAAATAAGTGAAAGTTTTAAACAGTATTAAAAATTTATGGTATATCATAACCATCGCCGAGTCAAGTGTTACGACAGCATGTCAGCTGTGATGTAAACAATGATATGACGTCAGAGTGACGTCACAGACAGCGCGGCGAAATGGCGGAGGAGACGGACAAGTTCATCTGGCTCTTGGTCCAAGAAACAATACGACAACACGAAAGCGCCAAAAGGTATGCGGAATGAGTCGATTAAATATTTACTTATTTTCCTAATAGTGATATGTTTAACCTTCATTTTTCTGGGCAAGTGGATCCAGGAAAACTAACTAGCACTTACACGACACGTTCTTTTCGAGTGTTTCATGAGTATTTTTTTTATACTGAGGAGGAAATGCACAGTTTCTATAACTTTATAAATAATATGCAATAGAGTGATGAAATTTCGATGACAAATGAGGTAACGATACCAAAACCAGACAAACACAAAAGTAAAATAATATATGCTGTCAAAATGTACCTGTCAGTAATAATGTATAATTACTTTTATATATTTGAAGGCGGAGGTAGGTGCGATAAGATTTGGATTGATGAGAATCGTAGTCTGAATAAATCAAATGACAGTTTCATCAGCACTTTACCATTAATCGAATGAGTTCTCGTTTTATGTCAATCAGAAAGTGTGTGAGTGTGTGGGTTCATAATATCTATCAATCCAACAGCTCTACTTGCACTAAAATATGTGTTTAGAAATCTTAGTGTGTCCTTTTCCAAAATGTTGACGCATTTAGTGTGTTGACGTGTTGAGAAGGGATGTTAAATTCTAAACATGTTACTGGTATGTTGTATTTAGTTGTTGCTTAGATGCTAAAAGTGTTCAGAAAAACACATCTTTTGTGGTGAAAGGCTCACCATCAAGCATATTCTTCGTGACTGTGTGGACCGTTTCATGTGCAAGGGATTCCCATTATGAAGCGATAAATCTGAAAGATCTCATTGTGGGCATCTCATTGTGAACTACGTAAGGGAAATTGACCTCTATCGTAAATTATAACTATGTGATATGTATGACGGATTGCTGTTTGTTTTGTTTTAAATTTGGAGCTATGACTTTTTCTGTTTGTAAATAAATACGTATTGGAAATATGTATTTTAAGAAACTTAAGAAACTGAAAATGTGTATTATGCAGACTTGGTTTCATCGCTATATGGCTGAAAGAATGCGATGCGACGTAAACTTCTACTCAGAAAGGGCACATGTGTATACCGTACATCACTAAACACGTAACTGTGTGGGAGTTCAGAGGCAGACTGACTGACTGAGTTTTGGTTTTACGCCGCTTTTAGCAATATTCCAGCAACATCACGGCGGGGGACACCAGAAATGGGCTTCACACATTTTACCCATGTGGGGAATCGAACCCGGGTCTTCGGCGTGACGAGCCAACGCTTTAACCATTAGGCTACCCCACCGCCCCTCAGAGGCAGACAGTTCATCACACTCTGCAGCTGTTATCTACGAAGTCGCAATTGCTTCTTATGTGAGATTGTGCCCTAGATATTTGCCCACGTTGTTGTATCCCCCTGACTGTCTGTATCTCTACCCCCCAGATGCCAGCAATTCGTGCAGGAGATGATGTGGGAGAGGGGGAGGGTGGAGCTGGCGTACATCAACAGTCTGGAGAAGTGGGCGGGGGCCCTTGCCCATGGGGTCACCAAGGAAGGTAGGTGTTGCCATAAACTTAACAAATTCGAACTGGAAGCTTCAATGGCAGATACGATGCAGATAGAGAGATTTAGAGCTATAGATAATTAATTATGTATATACGTTAACGGTGCGTCTGAGCCTATTGCTGGAATACTCCTGATTTTGGAGTATCACAACGTTCCTCGTTCCCCGTCAGGTGGTGGTGGTGGTGGTGGTGAAATTGTGTTTAACGTCGTGCTTGAGAATATTTCGCTCATATGACGACGTGCAAGCGTGTGTATGTGTATGTGCGGCTGCTTGTACTAGCCCAGACATAAGCTGGTTTTATAGTGCTAGCCCACAGAGATACCATGCCGCAGTGAAGCATGAATACCCCACTCAGACACATTATACTGACTCCGAGCCGACCAGTCCTTGTTGTACCCATTAATGCCGAGCGCCAGGCAGGGACCAACAAGTACCAATTTTAACGTCTTTTGGTATGACTCGGTCGGGGATCGAACCCGCGACCTTCCGCACTCCGGGCGGACGCTCTAACCACTACACCACGGAGGCGGTCCCCGTCAGGTGAGTTTGTTAACGATGTAAACAGGAACTTTTTTACGTTAAATGGCAGTCATATGTAAATAATGGACTCTGGACCAGACTACACTCAGCAATATTCCAGCTATATGGCAGCGGTCAGTAAATAATTGAGTCTGGACCAAACAAGCTAGTGATCAACTGCATGAGCATCGATGTATGCAATTGGGATACGATGGCATGTGTCAACCAAGTCAGCAACCTGACCACCCGATACCATTAGCCGCCTATTACGACAAGCATGGGTTGCTGAAGACCAATTCTAACCCGGATCTTCACAGATAAACTGTCAGGCCAATGCTATGTGTTATAACATATGTATACGTAGATCTAATGAGTCGTTTTCAGAAAGAACTCGTAACTAGTTGTTAGACATTCTTGAATGTATATTTTCAACGCCTAATGGTTGAGGTGGAACGTGGAAAAGTTTTATATTTGTCCATCTAGGTTCTCCGTTCCCACCGGAAGTGCAAAATTTGTTGGCTACACCGGCTCGCGAGGCGCAGGCGCAGGCTAACCTTCATCAGAAGTTGTACAATGACATCCTTCGTGCAGACGGGCCCTGTCTCCAGTTCCGGAAACGAGTGCAGTGAGTACGGTCCCGACGCGGATTATGCTGCCAATAATAATGTGTCCATTTATATAGCGCCAAACTCCACACTAGGTATGCTCATAGCGCTAACAATCAAGGCACATCACATTATTACCCCGGATTACCCAAGCTGCCTGTTAGGCGCTAGAAGGTTATAGTCATATGACTTTTTCCACCGGGTACCCATTTTCCTGCTGGGTGAACAGAGACAATTTTGAACAAACTCACATGCCTAAGGTGAGACCACATATGTCACATGTGCTTCGTTGTGGGGCTGGACTCAAGTCCTAGAAACACTCAGGAGTCAAGCTGCCAAACACGGTCACCCATCCAAGGACTCTCCGAGCTCGACACTGCTTAACTTTACCGATTTTTGACCTGAGCTTTGAGCACAGGACCACGCGTCACCACAAGTCATAGACAAGTCATAGAGTAGTCCCAACAGGAATACTGGGCAGTTTACATGTAGACTGGTATCACGTTATATAGTCTCCCTGACTAAACTAAGCACAGCGCACCGAGGCCAAGATACCAGTCCGTATTGGATTTTGTGGCTTAATGACTGAAGAAGCAGTCTGAAAGAGTTATATAGCTGACGTATATATATTTTCCAACACATGTTTGCATTTTTGAAGTTACAAACGTGAAACCGGGTGTACGAATCAAACGCACGTAAATGTAAAAGTGTTGAAGTCAACTTTACTGCAAGGGATTTCTGGGCATTGATTGATTAACCAAGTAGAGTTGTTTCGTTTTGTTTGGTTTTATTTATTTTATTTTTTTTAATTATTTATTGTATTATTATTTTATTATTATTATTATTTGGGGGGAGGGGGAGGGGGTTGTGTCTTTTTGCGTTTATATTCTTTTTCGCTCACTCGCATCTATAAACACCTATCAAACTTTCGTGTTCTTTCATGAAATATTGATGATACATATTGACATAATGACGACACAGATTGATAGATATCATGAACCCACTCACTCACACACTTACTCACCCAGCCACTCAACCTTGCGCTTACTCACTCTTGCAGATGTTTGGAGGAGCGGACCATGGTGTCCGACACAAACCGGGTGTACTCGGCAGCAGTGCTACAGTTCCAGGCCAAGTTGCGCCGGCGTCAGGAGCTTGAAGGGGAAGTCCGAAGGAAGAAACAGGTTAACAAGTTTGATGTTCATGAAATATATCATTACCAGTTTCATTGTCATTTTATGCATTTTAACGTTTTGCTTAGAGATTTCATTTTCGCTAGTTGGAGTGATATCATTACAAGTAGAATCGTCAACGATTAATGTGAATTTGTTAGTCACAAAAATCAAAACACTTTTCAAATTATCTATCATGTGACATTGGCGAAATAAATACGTCATCTCTCACGCGTCTCGAGACAATGACGTGTCAGCTTTCGGAATATTTTACGTTCGCTTCTTCAAGTAATGTTGAACCCCTATGTCGTCTTCAAACTTTTGTTGCTCTGTGCCTCACAGACGAGACTGTCATACACAATTAATTATTAACTGTACGACTGGTGAATGTTGTTATAGAATCGCTGAAAAGTATAGTACAAATGCCATACAGATAGTCACTAAACAGTATACGAATTTAAGAACATGGAATTTTGTTTTGGTTGACCAGTTCTGTTCCTTGATTTCCGGAATTTCATGTACAATGGGTCAAAGGTCAATACATAAAATTACACAAAAACACATACCACGTCATCAGAAAGAATTGTAGTACTCTACTACACATAAATATCTAAACAAAATTAGAAGTCTGAACGAATTCAGTTTGCATAAACGGCTGTGAGCAAATATAGCGGGTTTGCCAAATCTGTCAATGATTCTAATTTAATCTGAAAATTTTAATTTAGTGACGTTATTTTCCACAGCAATATGAATATGCATTATCCGCTTCACGTGACATGAATGAGAAGTTGGACGGTAGGCGGCGCCGCAACACACCACGCCCCCCTGTCGGCGAGGAAGATGGAGACGCTGGAATGCCGACAGTATCACCTCCAAAGGTACTCGGACGTTCAGCAGTCGCAGCTCAAGGAACAGGAGAACGAACTGCTCGCTTATCTCAAAACTCAGAGGAAGGTTGGTGTTCAATAAAACACACAAATAACCTTGGTTTTGCTCAAATGAATGTTATTGCATGTTTTGGTGGTTGTAGATGAATGAAATTGTTCTAAGTATCATGACACAAAATTTAACTCATTTTGACTTAATTCGGCTAAGTTACAACGTTATTAAAATACCTGGCAGATGTTTTAGAAAAAGGTTAAAGACACCACGATCTTTGTTACACTGTAATACCCATGTTTCTGTGAAAACCTTTGTTGACAACGGTAATTTCTACCAAAACGTTGCTGTTACATTATATTGAAAAAATATGTTATCCTTAAAACTTTTGTCTAATTTAAAATTCACTCACCCTCTTATGAACTTCAGTACATTAGTTGACTAACTGAAAAGAAAGATGGAGCCGATTCAGACGCACAGCTGCATACTTTTGTCAGAGAAAGATGTTCCGGTTTTAAAACGCCTGCTCACTTTCCACAGTTTAAAATGGACCACCACCACTACCACCCCCACCCACACACACCACCCCTACCCCCGCCACTATATACTGACGCCGGGCCGACCAGTCCTCGTTGTGTCCCTTGATGGCAAACTCTAGACAGGGTAGCAGCAAGTAGCTTCTGCAGCCTCTCTTGGTATGAAGCGACCATGGTTGTAGTGAGTGAGTTTAGTTTTACGCCGCTTTTAGCAATATTTCAGCAATATCACGGCAGGGGACACCAGAAATGGGCTTAACACATTGTACCCATGTGAGGAATCGATCACTGGTCTTCAGCGCGACGAGCGAACGCTTTAACCACTTGGCTACCCCACCACCCCGACCATGATTGTAACCACCGACCGTCCGCTGTCCATCCAGACCAATACGATAGATGGATTATTTCTAACGTCCGGCGTTGACTAACTGAAAATTCATGTACATTTTTCGTCCTTAGCTCCTCGAGACAATGCAGTCGGATTTGAACCTGTTCTACCACCGCCGGCTATGTGACACCCTAGAGCTGACTCGGATGTTCATACTCACTCTCGCAGAACACGAGATTCCGGAAAACAGGTTCGAGAAACTGTCTCATGTACTGATAACTCAACACAGTTCTTGGCGCAGTCCTTAAACGAACAGAAGAGGGTAGATTTTATTCACTAGCATTTGCGTACTTTTAATTAGTGGTCGTCTTTACATATTTTCATGCATCAAAATAATCCCCTATATTCGTTGTGTACATGTTTGAATCATTCTTGTCTTCATGTTGTATTAGGGTAGCTAAGACGTTGACGTTGGATGAATGTAAAAACATGTTGTCCAACGTCCCCGAAACCACGTTGTCGGAGAAGATGTTTTCGGCGGTGAGGGAAAAGGTGCTGCAGACGGTAATGGAAGAGAACGCTGCTCATTTCACCTTGCAGGTGAGACTGACTGACTGACTGAGTTTTGGTTTTACGCCGCTTTTAGCAATATTCCAGCAACATCGCGGCGTGGGACACCAGAAATGGGCTTCACACATTGTACCCATGTGGGGATTCGAACCCGGGTCCTCGGGGTGACGAGCGAACGCTTTAACCACTAGGCTACCCCACCGCCCCTGCAGGTGAGACACGCTAATGGAGACAAGTGTAGGAGTCAGTGGTTGGAGACCCGTGAAGATACGCGTTAGAATTGGTCTTCAGAAATCCATGCTTGTCGTAAGAGGCGACTAAATAGACCGGGTGGTTGACACATGTCATCGTATCCCAGTTGCGTAGATCGATGTTCATGGTTCTCTGAGTGGCATATTTAGAAGTTGGTGAACCAGAAAAGGACAAAAACTTTATGGATGAACCATAATGAGCCGAATAAAGAAGTTGTTCATCCATTAAGTTTGTCCTTATCTGATGTTCATGCTGTTGATCACTGGATTGTCTGGGCCGAATCAGTCATTTACTGAACAACAAAAAAATAATTTAAACAACAAAAACAGTGGTTGGAAGACCCACCCAAGGCGAGTTAGTGTTTGAGAGACTCGTCTTGGTCGAATTTGTGATTGCGAGACCCACTGTCCATAGACGAATAAGAGATTCATCTTTGGCGAAACACTGAATAATTTAGTGTCTCAGTCTGTGAAATTACATATATATTAATACTACTTTGCTATATTATTACTTTCAGATTTTCTATTCAGCGGCATAATGAAAAACATATAAAACATGCAAACATTCTGTCTTTTCTACAAAGGACCTGGTTAGCGGATTGACCAACAAAGAAGAAAAAGCGATCGACCGGAAGTGAGGGTCCTAGGAGTCGTCCGCCTGCTCCCGGTCCTGACACCTTCCGCTTCCGGCCTAGCTCCCCGTCTCCAGTTTGTCCGCAAAATATCAGCACGCTCAGGGAGGATTCCACTGGCGGGTGAGACGATAGTCCGTCACCCGACAAGAAGGACGTGAAATCACACTGTATTAAACAAAGCGTAGATGCAATGTCCTGTATCTACAGGCAGTCACGTGATCTGTGGAGTCTTGGGCAAATTATCTGAGTAGCGGGTGCTGCCGATAGTTCAGGCTATGATGATACCTCTTTCGCGAACACCATGTCTCATTGATGATTTTCAGCGATCCATTCTTATAATTTTCCCAACTGTTTTACCTCTTACGTTCATTAGAATCTGGCTCGGTATATTGTTGTCTGGCTTTGTCTTATATGTATTTAGGGGCGGCGGGGTAGGCTAGTGGTTATTAAACCGTTCATTTGTCACGCCGAGAACCCCGGTACGATTCCCCACATGGGTACAATGTCTGAAGCCCATTTCTGTGGGCCCAGTCGTGATATTGCTGGAATATTGCTAAAACTAAACCCACTCACTCTAATCTGTTCGAAACTCACTCACCTATATGTATTTGCAAATTATTTTTTGAAGTAATTCTTCTCAACTGGAGGATCCGTTTGTTGTTTTTCTTTACTCAGGTAATTGACAGACACGAATTGCTATAATAGAAGACCTTTTCTGAGGAGCATTAAAATCGTGACGCTGTTCGTATGCTATTATATGCACAACTTTGCTAAAATAGAATAGTGATAATTGATAGTTATATTTGGTGACAAAACTATTTCAGGCCTTTGCCGAACACGTCTCAGGTCCAGTACGGCTGTTCTCAGATAGCACGTGTGAATCACCTGTTGAAGATTCAGACTCGACAGGAAGAGCTGGTCAACGAGTACCTTGCGAGGACGTCTGGGCGTCAGGAAGATCTGGTCAGCGAGTACCTTAGGGGTGCCAGTCAAGACGACTTGACCAGGACGTATCCGGCTGGGGCTGCGAGTGAAGACGGCTTGACTTGCACACTTCCTGCAGGGGCTGAAGATCAGGACAACCGGAATAGCACACATCCGGCTGGGAGTGCCAGTCCGGACGAACCGACCACCAGACATCCGTTTGGGGATGATAGCCACGGAGAAATATACAGCACAGATCAAGCTCGGAGTGTGAGCCAGAATGACTTGACCAACAGACATCCGGTTGGGGGTGCGAGCCAGAACGACTTGACCATCACACATCCGGTTCGGGGTGAGAGTCAGAACTACTTGACCAGCGGACATCCGGTTGGAGGTGTGAGTGAGGACGACGTGAACAGCACACATCCGGCCGGGGGTGCGAGCCAGAACGACCTCCTCGGCAATCACCCAGGTAGTCATGACCTTGGCAGCGAATGCATCACTTCTGGAAATTACCCTACCTGCAACTACGTCATACAGACAGCTGGGGAAGACGTGGCTGACGAATGCGCCACACAGACAGTTGAGGTGTCAGACCATGAGATAAAGGTTAACCAGCAATGTATCAAGAACGTATTCATCTCCTATTCCAACGACTCCGTGCTCGCCAAGGCTGGTAGCCCCCCTCCAACTACGTCCACCAGTTTCGGTCAGTTTCCAAGTATAGTACATGGCTATTTTTGTTATTATATATACAACTGACATGACCAATCCACATTTAGCCCGCTGTGAAGGCCAAGTCACGGAAAACTGTGAACATCAAGGATCAAGGTTTCTATTCATTCTCAATCTCTTGAAAACATGTTTATCATATGCTGTCAGAGATATATAAGTGTGACACTGATCGAGCGCATCGCCATTCGCTGTTAAATGTCTTTGTACCACATCGCTGTTGGTATGTGTTATCAGAGTAAAAATGGCTAGAGTTAAATCCTGATACCTCACTGTTGTATACTTGTCGATTCATTCTCACACCCTACCCTGCTTCTGGCTGTATCGTGCGTCTTGTTCTTGTGAACAATTACTGTGCAAATTCTGATCTGTTAATGGTTTGATTTCACCAATTATTTCTCACAGAAAGCACACAGTCGATGGAGTCACTTGTGTTGCCCCCGGAGATGATCAAGCTGCCTCGTCATCATCTACCCTTCGACGTGCGCAACTTCTGTGCCGAAAATGAGGACGATGAGGATGACGCTATGTCGCAAACAGGTAAGAGTTAACGAGAAGGCGGTATTGGTAAAACTAAAACTTTCCAACAAGGAAGGGTTAACTAATAGGCGGTATTGATAAAACTAAAGCTTTCCAGCAGGTAAGAGTTAGGGAAGGCGTTATTGGTAAAACTAAAGCTCTCCAATAGGTACGGGTTACAGAAGGCGTTTTTGGTATAACTAAAGCTCTCCAACAGGTACGGGTTACGGAAGGCGTTTTTGGTATAACTAAAGCTCTCCAACAGGTACGGGTTACGGAAGGCGTTTTTGGTATAACTAAAGCTCTCCAACAGGTACGGGTTACGGAAGGCGTTTTTGGTATAACTAAAGCTCTCCAACAGGTACGGGTTACGGAAGGCGGTTTTGGTATAACTAAAGCTCTCCAACAGGATCGAACATTGCAGCTACTAATCTCTGTCTTTGCATACGATGTTTCCAGAAAAATATCTCAGTACCCTTTGTCATGCGTATTCATGTAAATTCATCGTAAACTATTGATAGAAACTAAGCGAACATTTTACTTTAATACGCCACTATTTAACTTTAACATGATCTTGTGTGGATATCCTCGGGCAGATTAGAGTGAATGTGTTTTACCCCGCTTTTAGCAAATATTCCAGCAATATCACAACAGGGGACACCAGACATGTGAGCGAAACGAACCCGGGTCTTCGGCGTGACGAGCGAACGCTTTAACCACTAGGCTACCCCCACCGTTCCTGGCAGACTAGAACCACGAGTACTTGTGTCAGGAATCCACAAAATATTTTCAGATTTTTTCTATATATTCTTTATTTTGTTGATGTTTATGTTCCAGAACGCCGCCTAACGTCAATTGCTAAAGGTATGATTTTATTTATCATTTGTTAGTGAGCCGTGAAGATCCGGTTATAATTCATCTTCAGTAACCCATGCTAGTCGTATGAGACGATTAACGGGATCGGCTGGTCAAGCTCGCTGACCTGGTTGACACATTGTATCCCAAGTGTGTAGATCGATGCTCACTGGATTGTCTGGTCCAAACTCGATTATTGACAGACCGCCGTCATATAGCTGGAATGCTGTGCAGCGTTAAACAACCAACCAACAACCATTTGTTAGTATTACACGAAAAAATGATATACATCGCGTAAGCGAGCTGATACTGTATACTGGAACTTTCTGTGTGCTTCAATCACAATCGATTTCTAGAAATATCAAACTCGTAACTTGAAAAAAAGCATTATTTATTCGTGGCTGCTCAGCTAAGGATAAACTGATGGCCTTTATCGGAATGGCCATTACTAAGATTGGCGTTATAGTGGTGGCCTTTGCCAGGATGTTTTATCCAGTGGTGGAGCCGTGAAGGTCCGGGTTAGAGTGAACCTTCATCAGCCCATGCTTGTCGTAAGAGGCGACTAACGGGATTGGGTGGTCAGGCTCGCTGACTTGGTTGACACATGTCATCGGTTCCCAATTGCGCAGATCGATGCTCATGCTGTTGATCAGTGGATTGTCTGGTCCAGACTCGATTATTTACAGACCGCCGCCATATAGCTGGAATATAGCTTGAGTGCGGCGTAAAACTAAACTCACTCCAGTGGTGGTCCTGACAATGATGGTCTTTAAAGTGGCTGCCTCTAATGTGATGGTCTGTACAGTGATGGTCTGAACAGTGATGGTCTTTACCGTCTTTTCACTCTCAGACATTGGTTTGATTTCTCCAGTCACTGTATAATACCGCACTCTATAGCTTCAGATCATAAAACAAAATCATCACGTAATAGAAATTCAAGGAAGACAGGTGAGCATTAGAATTACAGTCTTGACATTCCACTGTACAGATTCTAAATGAGTGCATGTTTGGGCAATAGGGCTTCGCCGTAAGTTGTTCAGGAAGGACGAAGAGGTCACCCTAACGCAAGTCATCGCCCTGGCGCCGGGAGAACTCCTAAGCAATTTCAAGGACCTCGAAGACATGCAAGAAGACCTGGACGACCTCAGCCTCAACAGCAGCGGCTACAGCATTGATGATCTGAGTTCCAGCAGCTGCAACAGCAGCAGTGAAAGCGACGAAGTCAGCCTCATGTCGAATGTACGAGTTCGAGCCCTGCACGCCTACCAGGCTAGAAACACAAGGGAGATTAGTCTGGACCAAGGTTAGTTTGGATCCAAGTGAGACGGGATACGGATTAGTCCTGGAATCTGTTTATCAGGGCTCAAGAAAATATCCACGTTAGAACTGATCTCCTCCAATCTATGATTAGCGGCGATTAACAGCACTGGGTTGTATGGTTTGCTGCGTGTTGGATGTATGTCATATCATTGAATCAATCACTGGATTGTCTGATCCAGACTCCACTATTTATAGACCGTTATATGGCTGGAATATTGAAAGCAGCGTTTCAAAACCCGAACAAACCCGATATACTCGTTTAGTCCAATATGATTTCAGAAAAGGCGCGTTTGTTTACAAAAGCAGAAAACATTCATGTCAAATGAAGCTAAGACTTCATCGGTGTGGGTGTCGACTTCGGCCTCCCGGAAATGACGCAAAAAATGCAAAATTCAAAATCTCCAAAACACCTAAAGAAACCTATTAATGTTTTGGCATGGGGCATTATTACATTAGCTTAGTGTGTTTTGTCATGGGGCATTATTACATCAGCTATATTACAAGGCATACCACTCTAAATAGATACTAGTGCTAGTCTGACCATGATACATGTATTCCAATTTTTAGATTTTTAGATTCAGATATTTTAGACTTTCAGTTGAAACAGGTAGATATATATTACTAATGAAAACGTACTCTGTAAAAACCATGATAAGTCCTAAGTAAGGGAGGAAATCCATGTGCGTATGATATACTCATGTTTTTTGTTTGTTTGTTTGTTGTTGTTTTGTTTGTTTTTGGGGGGGCATTCACATTGTACATGCTTCTCTATGTACCACCACTACCACAACTAACCCCCCTCTCCCCCAGCCATATAGTTTGAACGGTCCTAACTCATCATTTTACATATGAATCAACTTATGCTGCATTCCTTTCATTGATGCTATAAGAATAGTACAGTTTCAATTGGTGAGATTTAAGTAAGAAGGATAAGAGGCGAGATTGTGGGGACTCAATCAATAGGGCTCGTAAGTAGGATACGGTACTTCGCGAGACCTTACGTTGTTTAGTACTTCCGGTGACAAAGTTTCATTTCCGATCTAACCATCCCAAATTAGCCGACTGCCAAGTGTCAACAGCTATGACACTGGGCCCCGTTTCTCAAAGCTCTCGTAGACCTAAGATCTCGTAACTTTTCTCGTAGCATTCGTACCTCCTATACTGTAACATTGGGAATTCGAATGCTACGAGAAAAGTTACGAGATCTTAGGTCTACGAGAGCTTTGTGAAACGGGGCCCTGACAGCCAAGCATGGTTATACGCTTGGTCCGATCTGGTAAAGTCATATTTGGCGGTCGCGCAATTTGGAACCAGAACTGGTTCTTGAATATACGCCGTAAGTAAACTAGGCCCCGTCTCGCATATCGCAAATTAGCGCACAAATGGAGCCGGGAATTAGCTTAGCACCGGAAGTAGCGCTCACGAGACTTACAGGCCCTACACGTACTATTAAGTAACTGGTTGTATTTACCTAACACATGAAATGTAACAATCGCATAATAATGTGTGAGTTTAGTTTTAAGCCTTTTTCAGCAATAATCCAGCAATATCACGGCACGGACATGCACCCATGTGGGAATCGAACCTGTGTTTTCGGCATCACGAGCGAACGCTTTAACCACTACGCTACCCCATAGTAACATGTCCGTTACATTTGTATTTTTATGCCGTTTATAAGATTGGCAAATATAGTTGTATTATATTCTTAGGGGTTAGAGTACCGTTTTGACTTGTCTTGTCTATGTGTTCCAGGCCAGCTGGTGAAGCAGAAACAGGGAGCTGATGACCAGGGCTTCTCTTATGGATGGACAAGGGCTCACAAACTGGCACCAAAACGCTATGGATATTATCCATCAGGAATGGTGGCGTTGCCTCATTCGTATCACAGGAAAGTTCGTAGGTACGGTCATGTTGAGATGCAGGAACTGGAAGAAGGGGATCGGAATGTGAAGCCGCCGCCTTTATTGGTATAGACGCGTTATGATTACACAGTGAACGAAAACTGGACAACAGCTCCCTCTTACATGAAGTAACGTGGCAACGGAAGCGTTTGTTTTGCTTCTTTTGGGCGTACGGACATAATGGCAGTTGCGAATTTTAGATATATATATATTTTAAATTTGTGAGGGTTTTACTTATTAAATAATTGGAGAGGTATACTTATATTGGTAAGTGACATTCTCTTTTGGATTCATTCCTCAACCAATGAGGGAAACACTTCATGCTATTCCATGTTTTACGAAGCGTCCCCATTTCCAAATGGAGAGATAGATGATCTATGAAAGTGCTGCTCACACGAGCCCTGTTGTCATATTTTATTGAATTCTGAACCATTTTTCCATGTTTCATGTTTAAATGTAATTTGTATTTGGCATGTAACAACATAACATATTAATGGGTTGGGAGTATTTTCATTTGGCTGCTCTTGACTTCTACTCTGCTCTAATATGTTGTTATAACAGTTAACGGTTATTGTAAGGGTTGTTGTAAGGGTTGTTAATTCTTGTAATGGTTGTTGTTATTCCTTGTAACGGTTGTTATTCCTTGTAACGGTTGTTGTTATTCCTTGTAACGGTTGTTATTCCTTGTAATGGTTGTTGGTATTCCTTGTAACGGTTGTTATTCCTTGTAATGGTTGTTGGTATTCCTTGTAACGGTTGATGAAAGGGTTGTTAATTCTTGTTACGATTGTAAGGGTTGTTAATTCTTGTAACGGTTATTGCAACGGACGTTGTAAGGGTTACTGTAACGGACGTTGTAAGGGTTACTGTGACGGTCGTTGTAAGGGTTACCTGGACGGACGTTGTAAGGGTTACTGCAACGAACGTTGTAGAGTTGTTATTTATTGTAACGGTTGCTATTTCTTGTAACTTATTGTAACGGTTGTTATTTCTTGGCTGGTTCTGTTGCCTCTTAATCCTATAATTGTATATTTTCATGGTTACTGTCTGATCACAAGCACCCCGTCTTCATGTGGCCGTCATTTCTACAAAAATGTTAAATTGTTCAGCGTTTTCTGAGGCCAATCACATATTTCTTCTATGTATATATACACTTGACACGAAAATCAGCTTTGTGCACCACAGACAGATAAGCATATCCCTATGAAAAGTGGAGTATTACGTGGAATGTGAAGATGGGTTATAGCTTCTTTCATTGCTGGATCGACTGTCCCATAAGTTATTTATGTTTATTCAAATTTGTTTTCTAACAGCTACCAGTTCTGTAGTTTTCACGTACATTATGTTTACTGATGAGAAAGTCCGTATGATTTTAGGCATTTGCGTTTTATGTACGATGTGCATTGGCCTGCAAACACTTTGTTATTTTTCTTTGTGGAGAAAACGTTACAAAAAGTACATTGCGATATACATGTTTCATATTCACATTCTTCGAATCCCCACATGGGCACATTGTGTGAAGCCCATTTCTGGTGTCCCCCGCCGTGATATTGCTGGAATATTGCTAAAAGCGGCGTAAAACCATACTCACTCACTCACATTCCCATTCCCTCATACATATTGTTTTGTATTAGTTTCACCAAACGTTTGTATGGTGTGTTGGGCAAAAGGTTCATGACTTCGAACTGTGAGGTGGAATGTGATTCCGTCATCCAAAAAGTGGTATGTATTTCAAACGGCCTTGTCATAATTCTGGTCCGATCACGTACCATTGAAAACGTCGTCGCGGTTGTACTGTGTCGTTGCGGAATGAGTTTGTGGAACGCTGATAAGGACGTAGGTTTCATTCTTTTCATGTTTCGAAAAATATGCATTGTCGAGATAAGACATCGTTTCGGATGCAACTGTAGCCATTTATACGAACATGTTCGGGAGAACAGATGTCATGGCATGGTTGTCATGGTAACTGTGCTACTGTCGGTCTGAAGAATTATGGGACACTGAACAGGTTTAGAAATCCTGGCAAATATTGAATCCTTGTGTGTGCAATCTGAAGTTGTATATATTATGTACCTTTATGTACCAATATGTACCATTGTCTTTCACAGCGTGTGTATCACCCATTATCATATGGGTTACGATAATAAACACTTGATGATAATATACTTTCGCTCTTATTTTCATACCACTGTCAGCTTTAGTTATTTAACTGTATAAATAGGTTTAGAATCTAAACAGAACCTAATCATGTTGAGTAATGTGTTTATATGGTAAACCGGAATACTTATTCGGTGCTAGTATTTAAACACACGAAACGAGCCAAGGTCCCACAGCTTATATTAGTTGGTGTGCGAATTTAAACATGTTTACTCCTTGATATGGTGAAAACGTAATTTATTTCTAAACATGTTGAAATTATGGAACTCGGAACCTCGTGACTTTAGATCTAAATATATTCTACTATGTAGTTAGTGGAGGTAGTTCTTGTCCAGAGAACCCGTTAGAATTGATCTTCAGTAACCCATGCTTGTCGTCAGAGGCGACTAACGGGATCGGGTGGTCAGGCTCGCTGACTTGGCTGACATATGTCATCGTGTCCCAATTGCGTAGATCGATGCTCATAGCTGGAGTATTGCTGAGTGCTGCGTAAAACTAAATTCGCTCACTCTTATCCGGAGAGCCGATGGTGCTATTCTCATCTCCCAACCTCATACTGATAAATGTTATAAGGTGGTACTTGTTGTTTGCCTGCCTGGTGCTCGGTATTAAGGGGTTAAAACAACGACGGATCGGCACAGTATAACATAACGTTCAAGTAACGTATGTGTGTACAGGTAACGTATGTGTGTACAGGTAACGTATGTGTGTACAGGTAACGTATGTGTGTACATGTAACGTGTGTACAAGTAAGTGCATGTATGTGCGTACAAGCACACGTAACGTATGAGTGTACAAGTAAGGTATGTGTGTACAAGTAACGTATGTGTGAATGAATGAATGTGTATAACACAGTATAACATAACGTTCATCGCTCATCTCATTCCAGCTGTCATCAAAATATATCAAAACTCACTCCAAGCACTCCCTGTATACAACGACAAGTTTCCTTGAGTGCGTGAGCCATTGCGTGTGTGACTACCGCTTTCAGCAATATTCTGGCCAAATCCCAGCGAGCGGCACCAGAAATTGGCTTCACACATTGTACCTCTGTGGAAATCGAACCCTTTGGGATAACATTTAATTATTACGCCTAGGAGAGCGGTGGGGTAGCCTAGTGGTTCAAGCGTTCGCTCGTCACCCCAAAGACCAGGGTTCGATTCCCCGGTACAGTGTTTGAAGCCCATTTCTGCTGTCCCACGCCGTGTTATTGCTGGAATATTGCTAAAAGCGGCGTAAAGCCAAACTCACTCACCCACTTTACGAAAGTCTTCAAAACATTTTAAGGGGCTGCTTGTGCTCTCAAAAGCAACCCACTGTGAGTCAGCAATCTTCTAATGAGATAACACATATTGAAGCAGTATAACGAGGGGTGCATGTAGTATTATACGTATGTAGCATTTGATTATACACGTCATGCGCCGGGGCTACGATGATACTGCTACACCGACATTTTTTAATTTGCCATTGTAAAAGAATTAGAAGGAATTAAAAAATAACTAAGAACAGATGTTTTAATGAGCTGAGGTTGACTTGTACTGTGTTACGTGTCTTTCACTGAGTGGCTTCCGCTTTGTAGCGGGGTTGATGGGATTTTTTCTCCAGCTGTGGACTTCACTTCCCTCCCTGGCGGGATACACGGAAATGTGGCAGGATCGGGTCAGATCTCAGCATTCTGTCATGGAGGTAAGATAACATTCCTTCAGGAGGTTGACACCCGCGGTCTACTTGCACTACGGCGGGAATACCATATCAGAATAACTCTGTATAAGGGGTCGTTTGCAATATTGCACAATCCCCCTTGATCAGCTTTGTATCAACACGCTACCGGTCTGGCGGAATAGTCTGGCTGTTGGTTGATCTGGTCAGATCTCGCCTTGCTACACTGAATAGGAGCACACCTTTCGTATCGCAGGGAAAGAGCGGCTAATCGCACCACCATCAGACGACATCTGAATACCCTTAGAAGAAACTTGTAACATCCTCCAAACCAACAGACGACATTTGTGAAGTACTCTAGATTGGCAGACGACATTTTTACTGTCATTCACTAAACAGACTACTGTTGATTCGGGGAAACAGGAGGACGACATCTGTGGAATCCACCATGTCTGCGTGCAGGAAAGTAGCTGTTGTGACCGGGGGCAACAGAGGAATCGGGATCAGTCTGGTTCGTAACTTGTGTCAAACATTTGACGGGGCGGTCTACCTCACAGCGAGAAACGAAGAACGCGGCAAGAAAGCTGTGCAAGATCTGAAGGCAGAAGGTTTGAGTCCTTGCTTCCATCAACTTGACATCGACTCCAGAGACAGCATTTGTGATTTCGCCAAATATCTGAAGGAGACCTACGGTGGAGTTAATGTAATCATTGCCAACGGGTCTGTAAGTTACGAGAAGAACAGTCCCGTCCCTCTCTCGGAGCAGTCTGAAGGTTACATCCGCGTCAACAACATCGGCAACGCAAACCTCTACCAAGCCCTGGAACCTCTTCTCAGACAAGATGGCCGCTATGTCATTGTGTCAAGTGGGTTTGGGCAATTGTCCCACATCTCTGAGAAGCTTCGACCAAAATTCCAAACGGACAATATGTCGATTGATCAACTAAACTGTGTCCTCAACGAATATGTGACATCAACCAAGGACGGCAGCTACAAGGAGAAAGGGTGGCCAGGATTGGCCAAACGTCGTCTCCAAGCTGGGTCTTGTAGCTCTAACCAGAATCCTTGTGCGCAATCTGAAGGACAACCCTCGTCGTCTGCTCGTGAACGCCTCCTGTCCCGGATGGACTGTCACAGACGCTACCAAGACGTATCTGGATGAGAAAGGTATGTTTGGTGACATGAAGGCAAGGCACCCGGATGAAGCTGCAGTCGACGTGGTTTGGTTGGCCACGTTGCCACCTGGAACAACGTCCCCAATGGGAGTGCTGGTCCAGTACAGGAAGGTCTTGTCCTATGAAGGGTAGCTAGCCATGAGGTGGACAATACACACACTGTTAACTTCCGGCAATATAACCAATGAGGCATATTTGAAATTAAAATTATCTGAAAGTTCTGTCATGGACGATGTGTGTGTCTTTTATTAGAGTCTTTGATTTTTTCACTAGATTCAGGCAACAAGTACAGTATATATGCGTTGCGAAGATTCCTGCTTAAGTATACAAGCGAGTCCTGTAGTTCCGCGCGTCCGGTAATTCTGTGCAGCTGCAATAGCGTACTTCCGTATCACAGGTAAACATCGTCTGCTACCACATTTACGCTTGAAATCGAGACATTACTACAAGGGACTGGCTTTTAATCACCAAAGGTAAGTAAATAACAGTAATTGACAGATAAATTGACAGTTTTATAAAAATTAGTTTTCTTCAGACTTTTAAACCTTTTTCTTAATTATTCATAATTGGATTTGATATGAAACACTCTTCCTTACATTAATGAAGTGATTTTTGAAAATAATCTGGCCCTAATACGCTTCCATACTTCGGATCTCCAGCCGGATGTTAAGCGCATCAGTTGCTGCGCAGAATTACCGGATCGCAGTAAGCGATGTCGTCAGAACACCGGTAAGGTCAACCGTATGGCATAATGCAACGTTAGAATCTTATAGTTTAGGTAAAAATGATGCATACCAGCATGTTTAGTCACGTAAACCTAAAAAAATAAGAGACGTTAGTTGCCGTGTTGCGATCGATGCGCTTAGGTGCGCGGAATTACCGGACGGCATTGTATATGTATAGCCAGCAATGACCCTTAAGCCTTACATCTTTACACCACATGAACGTCATTAACTGTTCAGTGTGGGTTGTTTTACAATTGGTCTACCATTCCAGGCCGGTATTGGAGTTGGTCAGGATGGCGAAACAGCGTAATATGTTGGTATTTAATTTGGAAATCGTATTCGAACTATTTCCATTGTTTGTGTAGCATGTAGCATATGAGTGGGTGAGTGAGTTTGGTTTTACGCCGCTTTTAGCAATATTCCAGCAATAACACGGCGTGGGACACCAGAAATGGGCTTCAAACACTGTACCAGGGAATCGAACCCTGGTCTTTGGGGTGACGAGCGAACGCTTGAACCACTAGGCTACCCCACCGCTCTCCTAGGCGTAATAATTAAATGTTATCCCAAAGGGTTCGATTTCCACAGAGGTACAATGTGTGAAGCCAATTTCTGGTGCCGCTCGCCGGGATTTAGCTAGAATATTGCTGAAAGCGGTAGTCACACACGCAATGGCTCACGCACTCAAGGAAACTTGTACACACACGTTACTTGTACACACATACGTTACTTGTACACACATTCGTTACTTGTACACACATACGTTACTTGTACACACATACGTTACTTGTACACACATACGTTACTTGTACACACATACGTTACTTGTACACACATACGTTACTTGTACACACATACGTTACTTGTACACACATACGTTACTTGTACACACATACGTTACTTGTACACACATACGTTACTTGTACACACATACGTTACTTGTACACACATACGTTACTTGTACACACATACGTTACTTGTACACACATATGTTACTTGTACACACATACGTTACTTGTACACACATACGTTACTTGTACACACACACGTTACTTGTACACACATACGTTACTTGTACACACATACGTTACTGTACACACATACGTTACTTGTACACACATACGTTACTTGTTCACACACACGTTACTTGTACACACATATGTACACACACACACGTTACTTGTACACACATACGTTACTTGTACGTTACTTGTACACACATACGTTACTTGTACACACACACGTTACTTGTTACGTTACTTGTACACACATACGTTACTTGTACACACACACGTTAACTGTACACACATACGTTACTTGTACACACATTCGTTACCTGTTCACACATACGTTACATGTACACACATATGTTACATGTACACACATATGTTACTTGTACACACATACGTTACCTGTACACACATACGTTACTTTACCATTGTCTTAAGGTTGTCGTAGCCAATAAAACCTTAGCTATGTATTATCACTGCTTGGTACTAAGATTGTCGTAAAGTTGTAGCTAAAGAAAAGATCTTAGCTACGCGTATTCCCCAATCTTTAAAGGCGTTAAGATATCATGTGTTTACAACAACAATGAAAGTAGTCGAGGTAGGGCCAGCCTTAAGATCCACTACATGTAGGATGGGGAGAAACTGACGTCATATTGAAGAAAACGTACAGGGTATGCTCGCTGTATCATTTCTGACAGAAACACACTCCTTCGGCACAGACAGTAGGAAGACACGTACGAGTTCCTAACAAGTGTATCTCGTCAACTGATTATGACATATGCCTAACAACTAGTCGAAAAAGATATAACAGAAAAATATGCATTATAATAGATGGCTATATGCACAACACTATCAGCGTTTTATTCATTTTAGTTGAAACGCAAGCTGCGTGTTTAAAACATACATGCAAAGGATTAGATGTTTCCGGCACAAACAGCCAGATTATACACACCTTTCGTGATTGTCTTGATTATATATCAAAGGTTATATTACTTAATGTTCTGACATAATGCTGTCCTCAACATTGTATTAGATGACCTAGGGTGATCTACATGCATGGCACTTTACCCTTCATACGACAGGACCTTTCTGTACTGAATCAGCTCTCCGTGTGGCGACGTTGTTCCAGGAGGCAACGTGGCGAGCCAAATCATGTCGACTGCAGCTTCATCCGGGTGCTTTGCCTTCACGTTACCAAACATCCCTCTTTCGTCCAGAAATGACCTTGCGGCGTCTGTGACAGTCCATCCGGGACATGAGGCGTTCACGAGCAGACGACGAGGGTTGCCCTTTAGATTCCGCACAATGATTCTGGTTAGAGCTACAAGGCCCAGCTTGGAGACGACGTTTGGCCAATCTGGCCACCCTTTCTCCTTGAAGCTGCCGTCTTTGGTTGATGTCACATATTCGTTGAGGACACAGTTTAGTTGATCAATCGACTTATTTTCAGTTTGGAATTTTGGTCGAAGCTTCTGGGGTATTTTGGACAGTCGTCCAAACCCACTTGACACAATGACATAGCGGCCATCTTGTCTGAGAAGAGGTTCCAGGGCTTGGTAGAGGTTTGCGTTGCCGATGTTGTTGACGCGGATGTAACCTTCAGACTGCTCCGAGAGAGGGACGGGACTGTTCTTCTCGTAACTGACAGACCCGTTTGCAATGACTACATTAACTCCACCGTAGGTCTCCTTCAGATATTTGGCGAAATCACAAATACTGTCTCTGGAGTCGATATCAAGTTGATGGAAGCAAGGATTCAAACCTTCTGCCTTCAGATCTTGCACAGCTTTCTTGCCGCGTTCCTCGCTCCTGGCTGTGAGGTAGACCGCCCCGTCAAATGTTTGACACAGGTTACGAACCAGACTGATCCCGATTCCTCTATTGCCCCCGGTCACAACAGCTACTTTCCTGCACGCAGACATGGTGGATTCCACAGATGTCGTCCTCCTGTTTCCCCGAATCAACAGTAGTCTGTTTAGTGAATGACAGTAAAAATGTCGTCTGCCAATCTAGAGTACTTCACAAATGTCGTCCTCCTCTTTCGCTGATTCCACCAGTGATGTCCGTTTAAGTGTCGTCTGCTAATTTGCGTTTTTTTTATAAATGCCATCTATCGACTTGACGGATTCTGCAGTTGTATTCAAAGATGTTAGTGTGTACAACTGCCGATTTGGTTGATATTGTTTCGTCTTCTTCCGAACATTGCAAATCCTGGACGTATATATAGTGCTCGTCTTAGCTATGGAAACCCATCAGGAACACCATTCATGTCTCTGTAACTTGCGTTGTATGATTGGCTGGGCTCATTTTAACAGCTGTCACGGGATACCTGTCCAAGGACACTTCGTGAGTGAGAGAGTGAGTGGGTGGATGGGTGAGAGAGCGTGCGAGCGTGCGTGCGTGCGCGGGTTATGCGTGAGTGCGTGCATGCATGCGTGAGTGAGTGGGTGGGTTATGAGTGAGTGAGTGAGATATGAAATTTGGTGACGCCTACAGGTTGCTGTTAACCTGATAAAAATAATCAGGACGAATTTGGTATTCGAGAAGGCGAGAAGAGGATCCTGGCACATGTGCATTGTCTATGTAGAAATTGTAATCCCATAGAACATATGTTGAATATAACTTTTGTCTAAAAGGCATGGAGTATTCATACGGTCATAACAAGCTATATTAGCGGCCTCTTTGAGTTCGTTATAACAGTTCCTTACCATACCTTGTACGTAGCAGTACTCAAATCTTCCAAAACGATCCGTATTCACTTTTTTTGTTCCATCAATATTTTTTTTCATATCACAATACGCTATCTCTAATTCACCATAAAGCATATCCTGATACATGGGTATAAAACAAGTACACCACGCCAATCTGCCACGGACCCTCTCGCTACTTATGTAAATACCAAACATCAGATAGAAACACATTTCCGACTGAACAGGCACAGTTGGCCATTAAATATCATTTTCCGGTTAAGATCACGATAACAGCCCAGCATGTAATGGATTAGTTGGTTGATATTGCTATTTACAGAATTAACTTTCAGAAAACAGCATAAATTCTAAAGCTCGAAATTCAATATGGCTGCCAAACCATTGACCTTTGACATGATAATAATAATAATAAACGTTGTTTAACAATAACGTTTTGTTTTTATACGTTTAGATATACTTCAACTGAGTAAGTAAATAATCGAGTCTGGACCAGACAATCCAGTGATCAACAGCATGAACATCGATCTACGCAATTGGGATACGATGACATGTGTCAACCAAGTCAGCGAGCCTGACCACCCGATCCCTTTAGTCGCCTCTTACGACAAGCATGGTTTATTGAAAATCATTTCTAACCCGGATCTTCACGGGTCAGACATACTCAAAGACTTTGCTAATTTAAAAGTATTTTCAGTAATATTTCGGGTAGTTTTCAACACGGTAGATTATCTACCCCTCAAGCACCCGACCAATCACCTCTTCATATTAGTTTGGATTATGTTTTCTGACAAATTGTACAAAGATTTAAAAAGATCCAACCAGAACTTTCGGAGAAATAATTTCGCAAGTGAATTTTCGGTCAAACGTTCAATAGATCAATTTCAAAAGTTTACGAAAGACATTAAAATCTTTTTGAAGAAACACAGGCCATGTCAAATTCTGATAGAACCTACCAGTTGGAAAGGTTCGGAAGAAACCTTTTAGAAATAATATTCCCGAAACAAGTATAAACATCGGCGGAATGAAAATAGTACTCTCTGTAATGACAGACGTCCTCTGCCGATAGCGACGTAAGGAACGAATAAGAATGAGTGAGTGAGTGGGTGAGTGAATGAGGTTACCTTTAGCATTATTCCAGCTACATCATGGCGGGGAACACCAAAAAATGGGCTTCACATTTCAACCATGTGGGAATCGAACCCGGGTTTTCGGCGTGACGAGTGAACGCTTTACCCGCTAAGCTACCTCCACCGCCCCCACGAATAATAAGGTTTCGAACAGACACATTTGAGTTCATCCAGCCAGGCTTGGAACTGAGCAGAAGTGAGCTTTACTACCATTAGGTGGTGGTCCACCGTACTGGTGAGTGAGTGAGTGAGTGAGTGAGTGATTATTTAACGTCACATCGGCAATGTTTCACCCATATCGTGACGACCACTGCACGACCACATACTCATTTGCAGAACGAGTACAAAATATAACACCATTCATCACATGCAGCGTTGCAAAATAAGAAACCTAAGCTCTGTCAACATTATTAAAATGTTATCTAATTTGTTGCATAAGTACCATTATGTGTTCCTGTGTTTTAGTCGAAAATAACAGACAAAATTTACAATTTTGGGATAGTTAGGAAACATGAGAGGATTGAAATATGTCTAGATTCTTTAAAATATAGATTGATATATTCTGACACTCACCGTCGATGCCTTGTATCACAGAATGATCATATCTACCTTGTAAAGGTATTTTGTTCCACCTGAGTAGGCCATTCTAGGAACTTGACCATAGTTACACCGAGGACAACGTTACGATCTTTGTCTTTGATGCTCTAATCATCAATTCTTATCATACAGCATGTTAATTGTAATACCATTTATTAATTTGTTTAATTTTGGTTGAGAAATTAAATCTGAGTCTTCATTGCTTAGCTTTGTTGTTTTAACCAACTCTTGGTGATAATTTATACAATTATATCGCCACTGGCATACCGCAGTAAATATATATGCATATGCATGATTACTCAGATATGCAAATGTCTGTACAATGTTATGTATTTAACCACGTGTGTTAAAAAGTGTTGTCAATCGTAAGCTTCACAGCTGTCACAGAATAAGAAAATACTATGGAAATATGTGATCCTGATGACAAAATATAAACTGTTTTCCGATATATTAACTTTGATTAGAATATGATATATTTATACCTTACATGACCGGCATTAGTTTGTGAAGAGCAAGCCGTGTTTAATGAGTTGTCTGAAGAATAAATACGACGTGACAGTATCGTCCACAGCAGCCAAGACCCTCAATTTGTGTTTTGTTTGTTGTTTAACGCTGCGGGGCGGTGGGGTAGTCTAGTGGTTAAAGCGTTGGCTCGTCACGCCGAAGACCCGGGTTCGAATCCCCACATGGGTACAATGTGTGAAGCCCATTTCTGGTGTCCCCTGCCGTGATATAGATCGATTTTATTCAGCAGTGTTGGCCCTGGGGCCTATAGTACGATTAAAGTTTGATTACTTGCACGTGGTGCTAGTAACATATTAAGTTTCTATTGGTATTGAATGCATATTTCAGATAAAAGCTATGGTATTAATTACACAACATCTATATTGTTTGATGTTAAAAGATTTGGCAATGTGTGTTCATACATTACAATTTTTGACAGACTTGGCAAATAATTAATAAATGATATTGATAGCATCTTCACGACTTGGCCATGCAGTCATGACAATTTAAGGAGTGAAAAGTGAGCGATAGGTCTTGTGGGAATTCAAAGATTCATAAAGACTGTAGCCGTCTAAGCGTAACTCTGTGTGTAATATTTATACATTTTCTATCCACGGACAACATGCTTCAAATATTAATATTATTTTCATGGATTCATCATATTTTATCTATAGCTGTGCTATAGTTTTTCATTAAAATGTGGGGCGGTGGGGTAGCCTAATGGTTAAAGCGTTGGCTCGTCACGCCGAAGACCCGGGTTTGAATCCCCACATGGGTACAATGAGTGAAGCCCATTTCTGGTGTCCCCCGCCGAGACATTGCTGGAATATTGCTAAAAGCGGCGTAAAACCAAACTCAGTCAGTCAGTCAGTGTTTAACGCTGCACAGCAATATTCCAGCTATATGGCGGCGGTCTGGCCCAGAAAATCCAGTATTCAACAGCATGAGCATCAATCTACGCATCTACGCAACTGGGATACGATGACATGTTTCAACCAAGTCAGCGAGCCTGACCACTCGACCCAGTTAGACACCTGGTGACTACAACAAAACGTATGGGTTGCTGTAGACCAATTCTAGCCCGGATCTTCACGAGTGTGTCATTGAAAGAAGACTTGGTATTTGTACAAGATGATGTAGAAACAGGTATCAGAATGTAAATACTGCTACACATTTGATAGGGATAAATAAATAAATCTCACTGCTTGTTTACAGATGATGTTTATGAATAGGATGCGATATGGTCTGGACCTGACGCAAATTAAACTCTATTTCAATTCATACAAGAGTAAACATTCTATAATAACAATAACAATAAGGCCACTTACATATATCGCTGAACTCAACACAGCACGGCCATGCTCTAAGCGAATACAACAATATGGGCATTATTACCCCTGAAAATCCAAAGCTGCCTGAGCTGCCTGAGTTAATAAGCATATGACTTATTCCACCGAGTACCAATTTTCTGCTGAGTGAATATAACAAAGCCCCGTACACAACCATGTTTACTTGTATGTACTATAAATACTTGCCATGGATAAATTTCATGCCACTTTCACATCCCATTCATACATCTCCAAACATGCAAACTCACAATATCCTTGTGAAATGTTGAGTAGTATAACATGAGGTGAGGTTGCTTGAAAACGTTATTTAAGTCGGGACTGTCAAATTGGATGAAGCGAGAGTAAAATATATATTTGCAGAATGTCAGTCCGTCCATACATTTTTCTGGGTCCTCCATCTTCCGTCCTCCCTGAATGTTCTTATCTCAATATTCCTCGTCCCTGTTAAGTTCTATTTCCTGGTGTGAATATTATTATTCCTGCACACTGATGAAAAGAACACAGAGCATCTTTCTTTATCTAAATTTTCTAAGTAAGGATGTTTCCGAAGGAAAGCCATTGGATCTACGTTGGTCATTTAAGAATTATTAACTTAAAGACTAAATCTTGGTCTAAATTTTAAGATTTCACAAAAATAAGTTACAAAATGAGTGACTATAAACTATATAGTCTTGAACTTATGAACTTGTGTAAGATGGACTATTCGCTAGTCAACAGGCACGGTAAGGCATGGGAACATGTAAACATTCCTGTAGACAAGCTGGAATCTTTGTATCGCTGCTTGTAGAGGAACTGACATTCTGACAACATTTTCTGGAGATGGACAGACTTCTTGTAACATTTTCTGGAGACGGACTGCCAGCTACAACAGTGATTGGGAATAAGACCGTTGAAGAAGGATGTGATGTCTTTCTACTGGAATCCAGAGCTGCTTCAGCTAGATCCAGAGGCAAGCACGTTGCGTCAGCAGATTTCAGAAATCAAGGACTTGAGGAAAGATGCCAAATCAGTTAAAATAAAGAATGTGAAGATGGGAGAGAGAGAGAGAGAGAGAGAGAGAGAGAGAGAGAGAGAGAGAGAGAGAGAGAGAGAGAGAGAGAGAGAGAGAGAGAGAGAGAGAGAGAGAGAGAGAGAGAGAATTTGGGCATCCAGCACCTGCACCTAGTCCAGTATATAACTAGTCGACTTTGCACTATCTATACCATTATTCATATGAACTAACCTGCACCTAGATCGAAATATCGAGTCAGCGAACTCCGTTGGCCTATGATTTTACGACGCTTAATTCGACGCTTAATGACACTAGACATGAGCTTCAGACCTCGAAGAGTTTGTTTCAAACAGAATGAGTGCGGTTTTGTAATTATCGCAACGCTCCTTTTAGATTACATACAACGGGTCTCGAGAATATCTTTGACAAACTGCAATGAAAAGTAAAGGTGTGGTTGCTCGGAATCGATCCTTATGATTAGATGCCCTTTGAAAGGTATTGACGTCGGGCTCTTATCAGAGTTACGTCCCTTTTGTGACCGCATACATCATTAACATTGATAACTCGAGTTAATTATGTGTAAAGTAATTCAACGTGTGTGTTATTTTGTATTATTTGATCTACATTGTTTGACATGTGACTACACCATAACGAATACAGTTGTTTATTCACTAGGAATATATAATTTATTGTGCATGTTATCGGCGACAGCTAGAAGACGACATGGCGATAGCAACTGAGATTTTCGAGCGAAAATGAGTGAGAACACGTAGCAAGTCGCAGGTGACTCGGGATGGCGTCCTTATTGAAAAATCAAATTTTGAAACATCTGTCTAAGTAAGTATTTACATTTGATAGTCATTTAAAATCACCACAATGCGACTTTACCCCGGAAGTCAAGACCGAAACACAGTGACAAGTGTTCAGATGTGTCAAATAAGTTGTCATTCGAAACTTGAATTAGCAGACGTGTCTACCTTTGATTGTGATTTTAAAAAGGTGCGTAAATTTAAAAAAATAACCACATATGGTGAGAGTGAAGGGTATGGAGTGATTATTCAAAATATAAACTAGAGATATGGTTCAGTTCGTGTGAAAAATATTAAATAATGTGACTCATTATTCAATTAGATTGAGAAGGGTGTGGGCGTGTCAGCTTCCTCATAGACCAGCTTGTCAGATGTGGTTATTTGTCAGATGTGGGAAGATATATCTTCTCATTAAGGAGATTATAATTTCAATACAGAGGTAGGGGAACTGTTACACCTATGTTGAGTGTCTACCATGTACCACGCCAGTGTTTGACAAGTGATGGTATGGGTCCATAAACTGTACAAAAGAGGTTATGTTATCATTTCGAATTTTGAAAATATATTGTTTTGTTTTTGTTCAGCAATGTTAAAATGGGTTGAACTATTTTCAAGAGTAGCAATATATCCATTGCAATTGTTTATATCAACATGACTTGTAAAATGCCAGTGGTATCACTGAATGACAGTTGATAGTTTCAATATTTGAAATGGGTTATAGATAATACAAATTCTATTTCAAACATGTTGGTTAGTAGTGATTAGAGGTGTGAAGATACAGAAATTTTACGATACGATACATATCGCGATATCATAGAACGATATGATTCGATATGATGCATATCACGATATGTTATCTTTAGTTATTTTCTTTAAAAAAGTGTATCTTGATAACAAGAAACTGTAAATTTTCACATAACCGTCAATTTCTGGTGAAAATTCACAATTTAAAGGTCAACGATACATATCACGATACGGAAAAAAGTATCGATATATTTATTGTCAGAAAAAGTATCACGGTTATCGATACTACGATATATCGTCACAACTCTAGTAGTGATTAGCATGATTACAAGATCTTGTGGTTAGAGGTACTCTCTTGCATTTTACCATTGATTGGGTCAAAAATATATGTTTTTGAAGCAAAGAACTCTGTATTCATTTCTATTACAGCAATTGATATAACTATTCAGCCATGGAGTGGTTTACTGTTACCATATTACTATTCTAATAGTTTACAACTGTCGCAGTACTGAATATTACAAGAGTGTGGGCTGTCATAACAATGCAATTGCAAAAGTGACAATAACCCAGAAGTCACCTGTAGTACAATTATACTATTTTTTTCAAATAACAATTAAATAGCAATAATGCAAACTTAAAGTCTGTTTTGCTGCGAGATAATAGACATGTTTCATTGGTTTGTTTTAGCACGTGTGAGACTGATGTTCTCATGACCAATTTCAGCACGTTTGTTCGTCTTTCAGATTGTTTTTAGCCTGAAGGATATATACCTCATCTTCGATTTTCCTGGGTATTGTTCCATTGTAATAAATACCATGGACCCACAATCTCTTCATTTATTAATGATGATAATCATCAGATTGAAACACATGATATTTGTTATATAGGGAAGTAGCATATCACAAGTAGGTTGAGTTCAACATTCAAGTACTTGACTCATCTCAAATATGACTGGGATTGTCTGGCTTGTTTCTGTTTTGTAATAGCAAAACCCCATCTTTTCCTGCTAGACATTCATTTAATTCACGTTTTGAATTAATTAAGGGCTCACTTCGGTGAGGCCCTTAATTTTAGCTAGACGATCTGTCTAAAGTCTTTTAACAAAGCTTTATATTGTTGGTGAGTTCAAACTCATCAACAACATAAATTCTGTGCTAGGTTAAAAATGAGGTTGTTGTTGATCCTTATCAAGTGAGCGAGTTTGGTTTTACACAGCTTTTAGCAATGTTCCAGCAATATCACAGTTTATATCCTCATACATAGTACCCATTTGGGGAATCAAACCTGGGTCTAGAGAGTGATGAGTGAATGCATTCACCGCAAGGCTAACCCACCATCTACACATCTGAAGCTTTAGTCAGTTGGTGTGGTCTGGGTCCAGGGTATGTAGATCATTATGGAAAGGAAATATAATACACAGGATAACTGAGAAAGGTATTTCTTTAATTCCTGCTGTTTATGAATGCTTAATGACCGCCTTGTACTTTATCATCCAAAACTGTGTTCCACAGGAGATGTTGCTTGTTTGAGATCACTGATATCTCCTAGGAGATATCATTTTGACAGTAGATTTTGTACAATGCCCTGATGTCATCAATTACATGAGATCACAATCCATTGACATCATCAATTACATGACTCACAATGCTATGACGTCAAAAAAACCTGATGTCTTAAACTTGATCATGTCACAATGCTTTGACATCACTGCACTGCAAGTCTAATGGCAGTACCGTGTTCAGAGATGTACATTTTTCATTGAAAACTAATGAAGAGTGATTTTTTATAATAAATAGAATCTCACCCTTGTGTCTTCTGATATCAAATATATCAACACTCGGCAAGCCTCAGATATTTGTAACTTTATCAACTCGTGTTGATATGATTGATATCAGTAGACACTTGGGTGAGATTATCTATGTGTCCCAATTGCGTATATCAATGCTTATGATGTCGCTCACTGGATTATCTGGTCCAGACTCAATTATTTACAGACCAGCACCATATAGCTGCAATGTTGCTGAGTGTTAAACAACAGACAAGCAAACAGTATCGCTAAGGGGTATGCATTATGTAATGCAAAACAATAGAATGAAGGTAAATATTGTCACTGCCAGGGTCCTTTCATATAGCATTTAGACCCCCAGCACTGACAATATATTAATGGATGCTAGCTTTTGCATCACAAGCCCCTGAACTTTTATGTTAGAATTGTGCCACATATATATTTTAGGCTAAGACTGAATATTGTCAGAGGTTTATAAAATTGTTACATACATGTATCATTGGAACATTGAGTTTTGGATGTCTCACATGTTCGGGCAGCAGTGGTTACTTGCGCTGTAATATCCCAGGTTAGTCAGTACTTGGATGATGGCTTTAACATTTAGTTGTCTTTAATAAGTTAGTGACATGTTTTACAATTGCTCATTTGAAAATCATGACAATAGGGGATGTCCTTAAGCACCCGATAACCCATCACACTTTTATATAAGAACTGTTAAATGGCATCAGTGAATAAAGGTTTCAGTGAATATGACGGAACACGTCTAAGGGAAAATTAGAGTCAGAATTTGTTATGTACCTCATTTATGACTTGGTTGATAGCTTTCTAGAACTTGCTAGCAGTACAAGGACTGGTAATGTTTTAATGCGAAATCATTTGTAAATGTTAAAGAGAATGTCTGCTAATATATCACCAAGGACAGTAGAAAGATGTGAAAAAAAACTGTGTTGAAAATAGCCAGAAGGCAAACATTTGTTTTTATTAAATACTCTAATTTGCCTAAAATTCTTTAAAAATGTCAGACGCGACGAATGAGATGAGTGAAATGTCATGACATTTAGAAAAAGTATTTTTTTAATTCTCTGTTTCATTGTGCTTCTGGCGTGTCTACATGTGTGGATGTCTGTGTGAGTTATTGAAATGGTTCCTAAGCTGAATATAAGGAGGTTAATCTGCATCAACTGCTGTAACACATTCAGTGGGAGAGATTTCCATCATCTGCTGTTGCAGGTGCTTGTGACAACTTGGTCTGGTCACAAATATGTGTCAGACTTCATACCACTGCTTTATTCCAACAACACATGTCATTTATTGAACCAAATAGTGTAAGTTTGTAAATTGTAACAATGTTGGTGAACATGCTCAGACAATTTTATTAATAAAACATGACTGACTGACTGAATTTGGGTTTACGCCGCTTTAAGCAATCTTCCAGCAACATCACGGCGGGGGACACCAGAAATGGGCTTCACAAATTGTACCCATGTGGGGATTCGAACCCGGGTCTTCGGCGTGACGAGCCAACGCTTTAACCACTAGGCTACCCCACCGCCCCAATAAAACATGAGATTCTTAGATAGCATTCTAAATCTTTTTAAAAAATGTAGTTAACAAACATTTATGCAATCCGTTCATCAAAATGTGTATGTTTGCCAAAATCATAAATATATGAGTATCAATATTTTAGTAATAATTCCCTGCCACAGATTTGTTATAATTCCCATGGATATTGTGGACAGCAAACGGAATGTGTTTAGTTGTTCAAATGTACAATTATCACCTACTGTGTAATAATGATCAACACTGCAAGGAATATACCCGTAGGTTTAGAAAATATGTCTTCTTTAACTGTGTTCCTTAGGCACTTGGAGCTTATTGTCACAGCGCCACAGCTCGGTGGTCTTGGCATATGTGTAGAAGCTGAAATACAAGAGATTTACATAGTCTGACTGATGCAGGTTTTTTGCAGACACCAGGACTTTGTGTCTTCTGTTGTTCCATTGTTCTTTGGTTCTTTTGAATTGTTCTGTTGTTCCACCCTTCTTTGGTTCTACTGAATTGTTTTTTAGTTCAACTATTTTTCGGTATATATTATCTGGAATTCTTTATAGTGCCACTGTTCTTTGGTATATATTATCTTGAATTCTTTATAGTGCCACTGTTCTTTGGTATATATATTATCTGGAATTCTTTATAGTGCCACTGTTCTTTGGTATATATTATCTGGAATTCTTTATAGTACCACTGTTCTTTGGTATATATTATCTGGAATTCTTTATAGTGCCACTGTTCTTTGGTATAAATTATCTGGAATTCTTTATAATACCACGGTTCTTTGGTATTATCTGGAATTCTTTATAGTACCACGGTTCTTTGGTATATATATTATCTGGAATTCTTTATAGTACCACAGTTCTTTGGTATATATATTATCTGGAATTCTTTATAGTGCCACTGTTCTTTGGTATATATATTATCTGGAATTCTTTATAGTACCA